ATACAGAACCTGCCGATCTAGCTGAGAAGACAAAAATCCCAAGGTGGGGAGGGGTGGCGTCAGGTCCCCAAATGGTCTGAGAAACTGCAGGATGTGCTTGTTGACCTTGAACTGGAGATGCCACTGTCTTGCTCCTGCCTGGCCTCCTGAGAGTACAGGCACGGAGCTACAAGGGCCCTGGGGACAGAAGGTAGTCCTATGGCCCCTGAGAGGATGCTGCCAGCCAAGATAATGAGCTCATGTCCTAGTGCCTCCCCTCTAGGTTAGTAATAATCAGATCTTTTCTCTTTTTAATGTAATGTTTTCTAGTCTAACAGAAAAAAATAGGAAAAACAAAATTAGGCCAGGGATATAACTCAATGAATGGTACAAGTGCCTGCCTGGCAAGCGCGAGATCCTCAGTTCGATTCCCAGTACCAAAAAAAAAAAAAAAAAAGTACAGCTGGCTTTTGTACTTAAGGAATTCCCAAAGCAGAGATGCACGTGTGCATTTCCAGCATGTAGATTACCAGAAGACAGTGGGAGACCAGCCATCAGTCAATTGCTTATCAACTTCCATGTATAAGCTCAGAATTTTAGGCCAGTGCAACCCCCGAGCAAGGAGCCAGAAATCTGGGCACATCAGCAGTAAACAACCTCATGGGTTTTGCCTTGGAAAAGAGACAATAGACAGATGAACCCCAGGACATGTCACCAGTTGCTAGAGAACCCCTCACTTTACAGATCTAGGGTTGGGCCGTCCCACCCTTGGGGGTCTCAGACTGCTTTCCAGAGCTTGTGAGAGATGGGGACAAGTCCCTCTCTATTTAGAAGAAGGAAATCAGAGAGTAGTTAAGGGAGCATCCAAGGCTGTTGTGTTTTATTTGTTTTTACAGTACTGGGCGTGGGACCGAGGGCCTTGCGCATGTTGAGTGGCTGAACTGCGTCACCCGCCACCACCCCATGTTCTGTCTGTCTTATTTAGGAATGCCACACAGTGCCTCGCTGAGAAGCCAGGGCCCCTCCTGAGCTGCAACATGAGCCCCAAGAATAGACACTTGAAAGCACAGCAGGAAGGAAAACTAGGGCAACCTCTGCCCTTGGGGAGCTTGTTTTAATTGGGAGATAAGATATGTAAATGTAAAACCAGAAGTAATTGTAAAGGTTCTGTGCAAATAATCTCTGTTCACCCGATATTTACCCAGGACTTGCTGCTGGTCGGTTAGTGCTGATGTGTGGCCCTGGGTAGGAGTGGAAGCCAGAGCAGTGACAAATGCTCCCAGGAAGTCACGGGGTAGCTAGGGAGGGAGATGGCTGAAGGAGGAACTGTTGCCAGACTATGAGAGGCCAAGAGGCAGGTCAGGGTCTCTCTGGCACGGAGGTGGGGGGTGGGGGTGGGGGGGTGAGAGGTGGGGGAGTATGAGGGGGGGTTTGAAAGAATTTACTGGGGAAAGTTCACAGAGAAGTGTGAAGTGTGAAATAAAAAGTAAGTAGAATGAAAGTAACTTTTGAAGAGTGTTTTAAAATGGAGTCCGCAAGTTCAAGGCCAGCTTGAGTTACATAGGGAGCTCAAAGCTAGCCTGAACTCCATAGCGAGACCCTGTCTCCAAAAAACCAAATAAAATTAAAAATTTTTTAAAAAATAAATAAAATAAAACGGAGTCAAGGGCCCTTAAGACACCAGGGCCTACACATCCTGCTGTCTGGGAAAGTAAATTCTTAAACAGGGCCACAGGAATGAGAACCTTTGAACGAGACCAAGACCTGCAAAACTACTTACGCTTTTTATTGGAGGCCACGGCTGTAACAAGCCTCACAGGGACAACTGACCTTTACCCCGAGAGCCCAGTGATCAACCGTGAATAGCCCAAGGATGTGTGCAGCTCCCAGCAGGACAGCACCCCTTCCCCACTCACCTGTTCTTCATGTAACTGGTGGGACTTTCTTTGTCCTCAGTTTCCCCTTCCCCATAAGAATCCTGCACAAAGTGTGAGCCTCTTAAGAGCACTCAGTCAGAGCTGTCTGATAATGTGTTTTCCTAAACAACAATTCTTGGACTCCCAAATAAAGTTATTTCAATTTTGGGTTTTAAGTTGATCAGAAATAGGTGGGCAGTGTGTGTGTGTGTGTGTGTGTGTGTGTGTGTGTGTGTGAGAGAGAGAGAGAGAGAGAGAGAGAGAGAGAATATGTAAGACTTTCCCCTATGGTCTCTTCCAGGTCCAGCTCCTCGGTCACATGCTCCTTTCATCCATTCCAGGCTGATCCCGACACCTCTCCGGGCTCTCAAACCTTCCCCATCACTGAACACACCTCATTCTTGCACTGGACTCTTCCTTGCTTCTCTCAACCCAAGGCCTCGCACAGTGCCAGCACCCAAAATGTCTTAGACAATAAAATAGCTGAGTATTGTATTCACAGTGCAGTGCCTCACATCATTTTTGCTTACTTTTTTTTTACTACTTTATCTCAGTATAACTTACAATAAAATGCCGAAATCTCAAGCGTACAGACTAGTACATTTTTACATGTTTATGTGTGAGTTAATGTAGGGCTGAGGGAAGATTCTCATCTTTCCTCTGAAAGTTTGCTCGAATAAACTGACAAAGATTAACTAGGAAGCTGGAAATTAAAAAAAAAAAAACTAGGAAGTTGGCATAGTGGCACACACCTGTGATCCAAGGTATTTGGGAGGCTAAGGCAGGAGGATCACGCTGGGCAACTCAGTGAGCCTGTCTCAAAATGTTATAAAAGGGTTGGGGACATCCCTCAATATTTTCTGGGTTCAATCCCAAGTACTGAAAAAAATTAAATGGCAGAAAAGATGTATAAATTTACTAATATACAAAAGGGGGAAAATCATAGGAGTATTTTTACCCACATGATTAATGTTATTCACTAATACAGAAGGAGGAGAATGGAGTATTCAGCCTGTTTTAAACTATTTTGAGGGCTTGTAAATGCTGGTTAGGGTAACAGATGGTCCTAGAGACAATCTCTTGGAGTTTGAGGGACATTATCTTGTCTTAGACGTCATCCACATACGCAGCATTCCATTTCTGAGATGGATGATGAGATTTCAGGGTAACAATGGAAGGCAACTGAGTTTCCCTTTTCAGTCTGGCTCTAATGCTGTTAAAGAATTTCATGGAGCCCAGTTCCTACGCTTGAGGGAAGGGGCAGGAAAGGCTGCAGGGGGAGCTGGAGTGTAGCTCAGTGGTAGAGTACATGCTTAGCATGCATGAAGGTCTTCGTGCAAGTCCCAGCACTTAAATACATAAATAAAAGCAAGAAAGGTTACAGCAGGCTTGACTTTAAAATTGGTTTTAAGTCTTCTTAATTTTCATTACAAGTTGCTCGGCATGCCAAGAAAAAGAAATGCACCACTTTAGAGGTATTGTCTGAGTCTCAATGGTAATCACCACCCAGATCAAACTATAAATGCTTCCACCACCCTGGACACTAAGGACTGCCTCCCTGTTCCCAGGTCACTGTCACTGTGGCAGAGAAATTGAGCCAGTAGCATGATGTACCTGGAGGACACCCTGCAAACTTCTGAAAGAACTTCCTGTTTCCAGCTAGGAAAGACAAACCTGCGACAAGGCCATCACCCAACGTGAAGGGTTTACCATGTCTAGAGCAGCAGATGTGTTCTGTATAGGCCTCGGGGAACAGTTTCAGGAAAAACATCTGTGTAGCACAGGACCTTCCTAGCACCCCAGCTGACCCACATTGGAAGCAGGCTTCCCACAAAGGGCAAGTAAGGACTGCAGTGTCCACCAAGAGCAGGACTGGAAGCAGTACAGCCAAGGACCGAGGGGGACTCAACTGGAGGTTGTTCTCCCAACTGTGGTTCTGGAATTCTGTGACAGTAGCAACAAGGACTCAAAAAAAAAAAAAAAAAATGTGATTATGGTCTCTTTTTCCAGATGATGACTTTTTACTTTATTACAAGCACTGTGCAGGCCGACCCTTAGCACCACTCAGCAAGCCCTTATCATCGTGGACCTGGAGCTGTCCTCCTGGTGCAGTGGATGGAGCAGATGCCTGCGTGCCTGTCAGGCAGGACCAGCCTTCGAAAGAGAAGTTGGTTGCTTCCACCTCCCACCAAGCTGTCTTGTGAGCACCAAAATCTCTCCTCAGTCCTCCCTGCTCTGGTCACCCGGGATGGCAAGTGAGCATGGCGTTGTGGCTCCTGCTGAGGTGACATTATAGGGCCTTACTGCTCTGTCTGTAAGGGCCAGGGCAGGAGCCAGGCAGCAGCCAGCAGCTTGTGGCCTCCTGGGGGAAGGAACAGCCTGGGCTGTAAGTGTTAGGGTCTTGGAAGGACTGGCCAGGAGCCTGAGCAACCCTGCGCCCCAGCCCTGAGGGTAGGGTTTTCCAGAAAGAACTCCAGAGTTTTGTCTTCTATTTTCTCTCCTTTTCCGCTTCCTCTTCCCACTCCTTCCTTTCCCTTCCTCCTCTTCCTCCTCTTCTCTTATTTTTTTCCCTGGAGGATTCCTCTACAATTCCTCCCTGGTATCTGGGACGTCTCCAGGTGATTTCCCTTCCCTCCCCGGGCCTCAGAAGGTGAGATGGGGTCGGGACCCAGCCACGACTTTCTTCTGCTTCCCGCAGCAGAAGAGATGGGGGTGCTGAGGAACGAACGGCGCGCGGGGACTTGGCTGGAGAGGATGCCAAGTTTCTGGGGTTTCGTTCTGAAGGATGGTGCACTTAACCCCTTGGGGTTCCGGCGGCAGCCCTGGGCACGCTCCCAAGAGCCTGGGAATCTTGTTTCTACGAAGTCTAGCAGAGCCCGGGGCTCCCGGGAGAGGGTCCACGCGCCGCCCACCCCGGGCGGTGCGGGAGACCGGCGGGAGAGGGGGCGGGAGGCGCCGGCGCGGGCTCCGCAGCCGCGGGGGCGGGGGCGAGCAGCTGTCTCCCCGAGCGGAGGGCGCCCCCAGCCCCGCTGCGCTCTGGCCGGGGGCGGGGCCGGCCCGCCGCCCCGCCCCGCCCCGCCCCGCCCTCCCGCGCGCCTCCCTCCCCGCGAGCCGCCTGCCTCCCCGGCCCCGCCGGCCTCCGCGGGTGGCGCGGCACTGGGCACCCGGCTCGCTCCGAGCCAGCAGCCGAGCCCGCCAGCCCGCCGAGGCCATGGGCTGCGACGGCCGCGTGTCCGAGCTGCTCCGCCGCCACCTGCAGCCCACGCTCACCTACTGGAGCGTCTTCTTCAGCTTCGGCCTGTGCATCGCCTTTCTTGGGCCCACGCTGCTGGACCTGCGCTGCCAGACGCACAGCTCGCTGCCCCAGATCTCCTGGGTCTTCTTCTCACAGCAGCTCTGCCTCCTACTGGGCAGCGCTCTCGGGGGCATCTTCAAGAGGACGTGAGTGCCCCCACCCCCTCCTCACATCTCCCCTCCCGAGAGCTGCCGCTGCTACTCGTACCCAGCTCCTCCCTGAAAACTCTCTTAGGGACTGAAGGTGACTTCTGAATTATTTATTTGGCTTTACTCACCCCAGTGAGAAGGTAAAACCAGTTCCCACCGCTCCCCACCTCCACCCTCACAGCCTACGGGTTGGCATAGGTGGGGGAGTTTGCAAGGGTGGGGGGACCCTTCTGTACAGCCATCCGAGGTTTGTCATACCCTGACTGCCAGGGGCAGAGTTGGCAGCAAGGTGGAAAGGGTGGGGGTGCCAGCTTAGGGGCAGTGCTGGGTGCCAGGGCTGGCTTGTGGTTTCACCAGTTGCCCCGGGGGTGGCACCACTCCTAACTTGCTCTGCATCAGTGACACAGGCTGTCCCTTTGCCTAGGTGGCCACAGGGCTGGTGGGGTCAGTGTAGTGTTGCTCCTGAGCGAATGAGGACAGGTTCTTCTGTCTCAGAGACACACAGGACCTAGTGGCTAGGGCCAGTAGGGAAGCACAGAGCCTGCCATCATAGGTGGGTCAGGTGAGCTTTGGTTCCTGGTGCCCAGGTTCCCCCTCCAGCCATATCACTGTTCTCCTGGCTTCCGCTGAAGGACCAAGCTCTGGACTGTCCCTGGCATGGTGCCCAGCAATGCCCCCTTTTGATACCACTTGCAGAGCCTTATTCCATGGCTCCCTAGGCATGACCACCTCTGTAGGTCCTTCTGGAGGGACAGCGCGGAAACAGAGACCCAGCACCAGGGACTGGATGACTTGCACTCAGAGGCTGCTGCGAGATTTCCCAAGTCCCAGCTCCTAGTTGAGTATTTCCTGGACAGTAGGGACTCAAGCAAGCAGGTGGTCCAAGGACAAAACTAGTTTGCTATCCCAGAGGAAGGGGGAAGGGGCCGCGATCTGAGTCAAGACTTCTTGGCCTCTCACTTGCTCCTAGGTGGACTCAGGAGTCTGAGTATTCACATGCACCTCCTTTTCCAAGTCCCTGGAGAGAGGCAGAGGGACCACCCCCCAACCCCACCATAAGGGAGTGATTATCCTCACTTCTCCAAACCCTCCTGTAACCCAGAAATTTCCCTCTCAGCAAGCTAATCTTGTGTACAGCGTTGTTTCTATGGGTCTGGAACAAGGTCCAGTGTGCACTAGTTAGAAAACCTCAAGAAAAAGCTCAAGATCCATTCTGCCTAGAGATTTCAACAGAAATAAAGGAAGTAACTCTCCATACCAGTGACATTTTATGTGTTGTATTACGTTTCAGTCCGTAGACCTACAGAAGCTCTCTTACCTGGAACTTTTTAAGAACACGTAGTGAAAGCAAATAGGAAAGAGGACAAAGAGAATCCCAGGTGACAGGTTGGCAGGCCTGGCTTTGTGCAGTGAGCAGAGATGGACAGCCGGCTGGGCCATCTCTTCCTGGCTAGCTTTCTGCGTCCCTCTAGGCTCTGCGTAGGCAGCTGAGAGGGTCCTGCAGCAGGAAACCGACTCGCAGAAAAGCCCAGTGATAATGCTAACAGGAATAACTGGGGTGCACTCCCTCTCAGCCAGGCACTATTCTTAGTACTGTACTTGCACCGACCCATTTCGTCTTTACCACAGCCCTTCAGAGAAGCACTAGTAACTCCATGTGTACATAAGGAAGCCAGAGCACAGGGAGGTTAAGAAATTTGCCCCACATCACACTCTTATTGAGAAGAGGCTTGCCAGGAGTGAAGCTAGGCATTTGTCTGGAAAACCGAATCCCTTGGCCATGGCTCTTACTTTATGAGTAGTCAGATTCCGCTCTGCAGATGAGGCACAAGCAGGAGGTGAGTAATCCAGTGATATTCACAGCTGAGTTGGCTAAGATGCCAACTCTGGGCTTCTGTGGTTTCCTGCTGGGATCCTCCAGGGTAGTCTGTGTCCTATGGATAGTTCAGGTTTAGGTTCTGAACTTTGGTCTCCCCACCTTCAAGCAGACTGTCACAAAGAACCTGTTCCCTAGGCGAAGAGCAAAGAAGATTCTCCATGGAAATAGGGGTGGAGGGAGTGGGTGCCCAGGAAGGGCCCTGAGTGTGGGCAAACAGTGTCCCACCACCTGTTTACCTTGGGTAGCTGTCAGTGCCGTCCTGCAACCCTGGACAAACAGAACCCCTGCCAGCCGCGTCACCTGCCTTGGGAGCTTGCTGCTGTGGGCCTCACCTGTCTCTGGTGACATGTTAATCCCCCCGCTAGTAAGTGCTTTTCAGCTTACATGATTACCAGCCAGTGTGCCAGGCTGGCATCCTGAGTGAGGGATTGGTTTAACAAATCTTCAAGGGCCAGCTGTTGTGAAGGCGTGGGGGGAGTGCCGGATGACACATCCCAGGGAGTTGGGCAGTGCCTCTTTCTCTAGGGTTCTGCAAGGCCAAAGGGGCCTTCTGGATGCTTCCATTGATTAGGCATGGAGGGACAACTTGGATGTGAGAATGGGTGGGTGCACTGGGGACCCACGCCCTTCCTCTGTGGCACCCCTCTCCAAGGCTTCTAGCAAACCCACACCTTGAAAGAGGCCACTAGGTATGGGTCTAGAGGGAGCAGTAGGGCACAACTATAGCCAAAAGAATTCGAGCTACACCTTCCGTAGGAAAATCTTGCTGAGCTCAAGGAGGAAATCTTTCAGAGTAGAGAAACAAATAGCCACCTGCTTGGCAGGATAAATAAGTCAGACAGGAAAGGGGAAAGAGTGGTTAGACAAGAGGTGACAGATTTTTTTCTGGCTTCTTGGGGACCTGTCTAACCACCCCGGGCAGTTGTGAGACCCCCTTTATCTAAGTGGCATCTGAGCGGATAAGTGACCCGCGACAGCTTCCCCGTGTCTCTCAGCCTCCCCTGTGTGCACCACCTGAACCAAAGACTAGTTAAGGGCTTTTCTTTTCCTTCTTCACTCTTTCCTTATTTACTTTCTTCCCCTCAAATTACGTCTAGTTGGTAAGTCCTGCCCTGCCCAAGACCCAGCTGTGACTTCCTCCTGCCCCTGTGTCAACCCCAGTCTTCATATCTGGTTCCCAGGTCACTTTCAGACTTGCAAGTTAATGCTTTCCATCATGCCTGGACACAGGGCAAGCCAGTTCCTCTCTCTGAGCTGGGCTCTGGCTGGCCTGACTTCTGCAAAGCCTCTGCCTGTCCATTCAGAAGCTTTCTACCTGAAAGTTTCAGCATGCCACAGACTCATGCCAAATGCCTGCTAGGAGCCCAGGACCAGACATGGTCTGGTTTTCAAAACCTGTCTTAACATGGAGTTACCATAGGACCCAACAACTGCACTCCTAGGCACAAACCTAAGAGACGTGAAAACTTGCCCTCACAAAAACTCATGCATGCATGTTCATAGCAACATTGTCTGTAAGACTCAGACAAAATTAGAAATAAACCATATATCCAGGAATAGCTGGTTGATTAAATAACACGAGGCATACCCAATTCACAATAGCCAAGACAGGGAACCAGCCTAGGTACCCATCAAAGGATGAATGGGTAAAGAAAATGTGGTACATATGCACAATGGGCTATTTATTTCTTTCTTTATTTTTTTGTACCGGGGATCAAACTCATGATCTTGTGCTTATCAAGCAGGCACTTAAGCTGCTGACCTAAACATCGGGCCCTACACAATGGACTATTATTCAGCTATAAAAAAGAACAAAATGATGTCATTTGCAGAAAAAATGGGTGGAAGAGATTGATACATTAAACAAAATAAGCTCAACTCAGAAAGACAAATATAATATGTTTTCCTGAATATGTGGAATTAAAAAAGAAAAGATAATAGAAAAGCTCTTATTGAACAGGAAGTAGTGAAGAGGGCAGGGGAAGGATGTATAAGGCAGAGTTATGGGGGGTGGATATGACCAAAATGTGTTATATGCATGTATGCAAATGCTACACTGAAACCTTATATTTTGTTTAGCTTGTTTTGTTTTTAGCTGGTTCAGATAAAATTAATAAGCACTACTGGGCGTGGTGGCACATGCCTGTAATCCCAGAACTTGTGTGACTGAGGCAAGAGGATCACTGTGAGCCAGCCAGCCTGGGCATAGTGACTTCAAAGCCACCCTGAACTGCATAGTGAAACCCTGTTGCAAAAAGACAAAAAGATTAACAAGCATACTTTCATAAATAAATAAAAGATAAAATGTGGCATATCTATACGGTATGCTATCATTCTGCTACCTTACAAGGGAAAGAAAGCCAATCACAAAAGACCCCAGAGTGTGATTCCGTCTCTAGACTATCCAGGCAAGAGGAAGCGTAGCTATGGGAAGTCCACTAGGACCTGCCCAGGGCTGAGGTGGGATGAGGGGGCCAGGGAGTGACTGCTAATGAGTACAAGCTTTCTTTCCTGAGGTGACAGAAAGGCTCTAAAGTTAGATGACGGTGATGATTTCACAATTCACAATATGCTAAAAAAAATTTGTACATTTAAATTTTTTGGTCTATAAATTATATATCAATGTTTAAAACTGAAAAAAATCTTAAAACTTGCTAGGTATGGTGGCCCATACCTGTAATCCCAGTACTTGGGAGGCTGAGAAAGGAGGATCACTGTGAGCTCAAGTACAGCCTGGGCTACATAGTGAGTTCAAGGCCAGCCTGAACTATATGGTAAGAAGAAACCATTGACCAACAATCAGTCAATCAATCTTTTTTGGCAGGGGGGATACCAGGGATCAAACTCACCTTGAGTTTGCCAGGCAGGCACTTATACCTCTGAGCTAATTCCCTGGTCCGGTCAATCTTAAAGCTCATTGCACTCATGAACTCCCTCATTTAACAGCTATCCCCTAAGCCAGACCCCACATGCAGGGTGGTTGTGCCATCCAAGGCCTTGACCTCATAAAGCTTCCATTTGGAGGATGACTTTACATGGTGGAATAAAGGGAAGGAAGTGGGCAGGAATGCTCATAGCACAGTGTGTAGGGAAGTCCTGTCTGCACAGGTGATATTAGAGCTAGCTCCTGTGTGCCAGGAGAGAGCCAGGCATGCCAAGAGTACGGGGACAGATGTCTAGGCAGACGGGAAGTTGGCTAAGGCTTCAGGTGGCTCCCTGTGTGCCCTGCACTTCAGTGGGCCCTGGGGAGGTCTTTCTGTACAGCCTGAGGGTTAAGGGTCATCCTGCCTTGGATTGGGATCCCCCCAAAGCCGAGCCTGTCTGGGTGACCCCAGCCTTGACAGGGGCCCTAGGAGAGCTGAGGTGTCAGCATACAGCCTGAGGGCACCAAGCTGCTTCCTCTTCCCGGAGCTGGCTCTTCCCTGTCAAACTGGCTTCAGATGGGATTGCTAACCTGTCCTCACTCTCTGGGTGCCCTGTCTTGTGGTGGTGACTTGTCCCAGAACCTAATGCCATCTCACCCAGGGGCTACCTGCTTTCTGGGTGGACAGGGTTTGGAACCACTTGCCCCTGGCGTTTCTCCAAAGTTCTGTTCCCTCTCCTCCCCTCTGGTCCTTCAAGGAGGCTGTGCAGCTGGGTGGGGAAGGAGGGAAAGATGTCCTGGGTATCCCTGCTGCATAGGGAGTTCCTGAGCAAAAGTGTCCATACCCCAGCCCCTGTGCCCACCCCATGGGTAGGCCTCGGCAGCACTTTCCATCTGGGGGTTGGAGGGCAGGAAGTGGTTTGTGGCATTTTGCTGCTCAGGCTTTTGCTGCTTGGCACCATGCGGTCTAGGAGAGCAGGTGCCAAAGGCAGGGCCAGGTCACAGTGATCACATGTCACCTGGGCAGGGCAAAGCACCAGGGCTGAAAGGGGTCAAGGGCACACAGCAGATGTGGTGGGAAGGTGACAGAAAAAGTCACAAGCAGAGCGGGGGAGGAGGACCTGGCTGCTGCCTTTCTGCTCCCCTATGGCACCTGCTGCGTGGGGCCATTAATAGGTAACTCAGTCATCTCCCAGGCACCTTGACGCAGACACCTGTGCTGTTTTTTGGGCTTCTCTGAGCCTTTCGGGGGAGTGAGGCTCCTTCTCTAATAGGCTCGAGTTAACCCATGCAGTGGTGGATACCCCTCCTCGTTCATGGACCAGCCTTTCAAGGTCACCATAGAGGGTGTTGAAGTAGAGATCGGAGTATGCCTGGGGGCAGGGAACCCAGGAGCCCTGGCACTGGCTTCTGCACTCTTCTGTTGAGTATGGTGTTCTGGGCCCAACATTGCTATTTTGGGGGAGCTCAGGGCCAGCAGGGAGGGATGAGCATGGAGGTAGGAGAGCCGTTTGGCAACTTAGGGAGTCAGAGCTTCCCATCCCCATTTTACAGTGGCAGAAACTGAGACTCAGAGGGACTGAGTGCAAGAAGTTTGCCCCAAGCCACATCACAGGAAGTGGCAGATGTGGGCGACAAGCCAATCTTCCGATCACAAATCCCATTACCTCCTTGATGCCCACACTCCTGGCAGTGTTTTTTCCATAATTTCCAATTACCCTCATTCTTGGAAGAAACCATTGACCAAGCCATTTAAAACAGGCAGTCGTTGTAGTCCAGTCTGGCTCAGAGATATATCTGGAACTTCATTCTTTCTTGGCAACCACATCTCATTCTAGGGAAATTTATTCAGGATGGTTTTTGGAATGCCCAGGCACCGCCTTGCTAAAGCAGCTGCAGAGAGTGGGCAGCCTGGGAGCCAAAGGAAAAGACTTCCTGTGGTATAAATGTCCCCATTTGCTGAGGACAGGGCTCCATAGCCCTGGCTCCAAAGAGCCCAGGCCCAGGATGGGTGCAGCCTCCTGCCACTGGCTGTAGCAGCAGGCCCAGGTCACAGCCATGGAGTGGCCTGGCAGGAGGCGCAGGGAGGGATTCCCTATGCCTGACTCCTTCTGTCAAGGGCTTGGGGCCAAAAACCAAAACAAAACAAAACAAAACACAAAGAAACCCCCTGTAGGACCCACTGTTCTTCTCAAGGATGACCAGGTAAAAGGGTAGAAATGAGGGGAGGCCAGGGCAGGGATGCTCATGGCGGCCCCTGAGCCCCTTTCCATCTCCCAAGTCTCCTGTTCCTCCACCCGCCTTCTTGCAGGCCACCTGCACTTTCCTCCTCTGTCAGAAGCACTCGCATCAGATAATCTAGCAAGACTCCCACGTCAGCCTCCTCCCAGTCTCCAGTACCTTTGCCCGAGCCACCCCATGTCACTGGCACTGTCCGTGAGCTTGGATTGGTCACCTACTCAGGCCACATATGGTGCCAGTGAGGAAACTGGCAGTGGAGCCGGGGATTGGAGCCTCAGATGTTCAGGCTGTGGTCACCAGCAGGCACATGATCTGGAGACCACAGCCGGCTCTCCACTGCCTCAGTCCTGCTGCTCAGGGCTGTGCAGCTCCCTGCCGGCACCCCTGGCCGTACAGTCAGAAGACAAGGGTGGGATCCAGGCTCTGCGAGCTACTTTCTTAACCCTTCCTGGGCAGAGTTTACTCATAGAAAAATGGGCACCAAGTCTACCACACAGCTCTGTCAGGTGTGAAAGATGCGTGGGACATCACAAACAGTAGTGCTTCTGCCTGTAAACTGCGATGCTTGTTCTTATCCGTCATTTTCCTCCCCGTAGTTCCTGCCCATCCTAGTTTACTGATCCTAGATCCTTTGCTGCATGACTCACTGCTGTTTTTGTCTACTTCCCCCAGGATTGTCTTGTTCTTTGGGGTACTGGAGGTGGAACTGAAGGCTCACGCTTGCTGAGTAAGAGTTCTACCACTGACTACACTTCCATCCCAAGTTTTTTAGGGCCATAATGAGCATGTGTTTATTCCTCCACAGTGTATTTGCACTTGATATGAGGCATGTCTGTGTTACTGTGAAGTGCAGAGGTGGTAAAAATGTCAGGTCCCAGTTCCTAAGGTCAGTGGGGAGGGGGATCCTTGAGGGTGCTTTCCCTGAAGCTAGACTACCTTGTGCAGAGAAAAGAGAAAGAGGGGCTTGTTATGAGAGGTTGCCATCCCCTCTGTCCTGGGTACCCGCCCGCCTCAGGGCGACAGGCACAGTAAGCACCAGGGAGAGGGGCTACAGAGCTCGGAGCAGGTTCACCAGGGAGAGCCTGATGAGCCCGGGGGGGCCCTGAACAGGCCTCCCCGCGTGGCATCGCGGCCTTCCTTCCCTCCATTTCCTTCCAACCCAGGTCTCTAAGCAGCCCCTCCTCCCGGTTCTGAGCTGGGAACAGGCTGAGGTCATGGACAGTAATCTCCCCGACAGATCAGCCTGGAAACAAGAAAAGAGAAAATGAGAAAATAACGAACTGCTGCTACCAGCAGAGCTCCCTGATAAAGGATTTAATCAGATGTGGGGCAGATGAGATAGATGGTAGAGGGAGCCACAGGCAAGCTCTGGAAGAGACACAGTCTGCAGGGGCTCGGGGGCCTGCGCCTCCTCTCCAGTGTGCTGGAAGCTCGGAGAGGGTTCCCGGTGCCCACCCCACCACCCCGCTTTTCATAATCTGAGAAAGTTCCTCCAGAACCACAGTGCTGCCAGGCTCCTTTCTCACCCGACCCTACCCCAACATTAGCCCTTCAAACTGGTCCCAGAAAATACCAGTCTTTATTTTATTTTTTATTTTTTTAATTTTCAGGCTGGGGGATAGAACCCAGGTCCTTAATCAGAGTAGCCAAGGGCTCCACCACTGAGCTCCACCCTCGACCCAGAGAATACAAGTCTGTAATCTTATCTCTGAGGGTTTGATGGGGCAGAAGGTCCCCAAAAGACTGATGAGCCTTAGCCACCCCTTCTGTTTGTCCCTCACAGGGAGACCTGGACCTTGGCCCTCTAGGGGCGCCACCACATTGACCCAGTGCCAGGCTTTGGGTTTTGGTGCTTGTGGCTCAGGCCCCTTTGCCCGTTCTTGGTGGGAGGGACGCAGTGACACTCCTCACCCTTGGGCATACCTCATCCTCTGCTTGGTGATGTGGGGTTCCATTTCCACCCTTGGAGGTGATGGCAGTGTCCTAGAGATGCCCCAAGCAGCTTCCAGAGACCACAAGGAAATGTTTTCTGTACAGAGTTGTTCATATGGAAAGAATTTAAGGTCTAACTGTCTTGCTGCCAGGTGACTCTGAACCACGGGTGGTACACTCGTGACTTCATCAGGCGGCACAGGACAGCCCCATCGGGTGGTTCAGCTGGCAGGAATGTGTTAATGCAGCGAGGCGTTGAATAAAATAATAGTGGTTAAGCTTTATAAATGCCTGATCCCATATAGTGCCCCCGCCCCAGCATCTCTCTCCCTTTTTAGTGTTGTTTTTTGGCAGTACCGGGCATTGAATCCAAGGCCTTTGCCCACAGCTATATCCTTAGCCCACTTTTTAGTTTTAAAATTTTGAGATAGTCTCGCTAGGTTGCTTCGGCACCCAGACTGGATGAGACACTGCAGTCGTCCTGTCTCAGCCCCCAGAGTGCTGGGATTACAGGCCTGTACCCTGTACTGTCATGCCTGGCTCATGTTGCACAGTGGGAATTGTCCTCTGAGGACACAGTCGTGTTCAGCAACCTGCCACCACTACAGTTAACAGGGGCTTCAGAGTCCCTCAGCGCCTTTCCCTTCCTCCCTGCGGGCCGGGGAAGACAGGAAAGGGTGTCTGTCCCACCAAAAGGGCCCAGGCCGCTCTGCTGACGTTACCCTCCCCGCTGCAGCCTGGCGCAGTCGTTATGGGCCCTCTTCACATCCACACTGGCCATCTCCCTGGTGTTTGCCGTCATCCCCTTCTGCCAAGATGTGAAGGTGCTGGCTTTGGTCATGGCGCTGGCGGGGCTGGCCATGGGCTGTATTGACACAGTGGCCAACATGCAGCTGGTGAGGATCTACCAGAAGGACTCAGCCATCTTCCTCCAGGTGAGCGTGGGCTGGGGGTGGAAGAGCAAGGGGCGCTCCCCAGCCAGGCTCCTCTCCTCTCCCAGCCCCTGACCAAAAGCCTCTTCTGGGCCAATATGGTGACTCAGCCCAAATGGGCCACTTCCCAGGGGGGCCACAAATGCAGTCACTCGGGACACTGGGTTTTAATGCTTCCTGTCCCCATCCTGCCCACAGAACCCCAACAATGAGGAGAGAGTGTTGCAAGGACGCGCTGCATGTGGGGTGTTAGCTGGTGGATGCCCTGGCTCTGGTGGTGGGTTAAGGCCAGGGAGAGGAAAAGGAGGGAAGGGCTTCACTCCTCACCCTCCCTCACCTCTCCTGCTTCCTGACACCCTCCTCCAGCCCCTCGGGACCAGGCAGGGGCATGCAGTGGGGTCAGAGGAGAGGTGACTCCCTCAGGGCAGGAATCTGTCCAGGCTACAGCTTCCTGGGCCGGAAGACTAAGCCAGACCCCTACCATCCCACAGGTGCTCCATTTCTTTGTGGGCTTTGGTGCTCTGCTGAGCCCCCTGATCGCCGACCCCTTCCTGTCTGAGGCCAGCTGCTTTCCTGTCAACAGCACAGCTAATGCCTCTTCTAGAAATCACCTGTTCCACGCCGCCCGGGTCCTAGGCCAGCACCATGTGGGAGTCCTGCCTCAGACCAACCAGACCCTCCCTGGATCAGCCCCGAAGGGTGGGGCTGAGACCCACGTGTCTTATGCCTTCTGGATCATGGCCCTCATCAATGTGAGTATCACTGGGCCAGGCTGGGCAGAGAGCCAATGGACAGTCCACACTTACCAGGCCATCCACCTCCCAAAGCAGATTCTTCAGATTCTGAGAAATGTGGCCCGGAGGCTGGAGGGTGGGAGAGCCACCCTCTTGGGGGTCATTGATAAGGCCCCTCCACAGGGACCTCTGTGACTGTAGTTTTCAGGGAAGCACGCAATGAACAGGTTTAGCTCAATGAAAATCAGGGCCCACCTGCAACTCTCTCAGGACTGGGGGGCACCAGCTTTTCCCCTCCACTGCTAGACAGGCCATGGCACTGTCAGGTTTTTCTCTTGTATCATCCACTGGGGGTCTCTTGTGCTCTGCTGCTAAGAGGCTCCGCTGGAGGCCAGGGATTGACAGATGCTCTTTGGGGGCCCTCCTTGCCATGGCAGCCTGGGTGCGGGCAGAACAGAAAGAATAGCCACTCTGTACCTGGTTCAGATACCAAGGTCTCCTCTGCAGTCCCGGTCAAGGCAGCAGGGACTCCGGTCTCCATCTGGAATCCTCCACTGCAACCCAAGTGGAGTTCCCTGTGTCAGCCAAGCCTGGTGTGGCGAGCCCCTTCAGGGGACCCCGACTGCTCTCTGGGGACAGTGCTGCTTTGGGGCATGTGTCTCCGAAGGAGGACCTGGGAAGGGAAGGGCACTGTCCTGCAGCATCAAGGCTGAGCCTCTGCCGCCAAGGGGCACCATTTAGCCCATGGCCCGTGCTTTCTTGGCCCATGACAAGGCACAGATTGAGGGACTTTGTTTGTCACAGGATTTCCGGACCTTTCCCACTGGTTTGTGTCTGAGAATAAACAGTCCGCTGAGAATGCAGCTGTACCTGCACACGAAGTGTACTCATGCACGTGTGCACACACACGCATTCACGCACACACACACGTCTAAGTTGGGGGTAACAGATTTTCAAGGTGGTATTGCCTTCCCTGAAAGATGGGGCAGGTTTCTGACAGCGGTGCCAGCCAATCCTCTGTGAAGTGTTCCCCACCACCCACCTTCCTGGAAAGCCGCACCCCTGACGCTCACGCCTAGCTTACAGCTGTTTCCCCTTGGCCTTCGCCCAGGCATTCAGCCTCTGTAGGCTTCTGTGTTGGGGGTTTCCTGTTCCCCTAGTGGACAGCAGGAAAGGCTGTGTCTGCCTCTTAGGCCCTGGACTCCACTCAGAGCCCATTTGTGACTTGGTAGCTGACAGGGGCTCACTGACCTTGACTCATTGAGTGTGTAGAAAGGCCCTCAAGGTCACCCACAGAGGTCGCTCAGGAGTAGGTGGATTTTGTCTTCCCACCTGGTGTGTGCTCACCTGTCTAGGAGAAGGTGAGGGCCCAGGGCTGTCTACCTGCTCAGCTTCCATCTGCCCTGGCCATTGACTGACCCTACTTGCTGGCCTCCTGGAACTTTCTACAGCTTCCTGGGCCTCCCTCTTCTTCCTCGGCAGAGGGCTGGAGGCAGAGGCCGCAGTGGGAAGGGCAGTGGTTAGACTTGATAAGGAACTTCCTGGCCTCAAGGGTGGTTAGGCTCTGGCAGTGGCACCTGAGGGAGGTGGTGGCAGCTTCTCTAGGCAACAGCAGAGCAGGAGACGGTGCCCATTGCTCTGGGGATCTCAGAGAAGATCAAGCAGCTTAGTGAACAGGATAGGGAGCTGTGTGTGAGCACAAAGCTCGTAAACACACATTCATCAGTGGAAATGAGTGTATGCCGCTGGCTTCCAGTATATCTGCCCAAGCCAGCTATGTGAAGGGGACGGTTTGCTTCTTGCTTCTCTAGCTGACCTTCTGATTCTAGCAGGACAGGACTGAAGGGTCACTCTGAGCCTCAGTTGCCACATTTGGAAGATGGTTCTCATGATCCCACCTGGCACACTCCATAGAGCTGTGATGGCCAGAGGCTAAGCTGCTCCATCTAGCTTGGCATGACAGAGTGCAGGAGGTGCCAGGCTGTGGCATTGCTCAGAAGTAGAATGTTAGAAATCAATTACCATGGCACCTTTCTGGGTGCCCAATAGAGGCACAAGAATGAGTCAGACTTTGAAAGACATCTAGTGAAACAGGTGTGCTTAAGCCCAGGGTTGGGGACAGCTTCCAGTGAGGTGGGCATCTTGGGGAAGAGCCAACTTCTCCCAGGACCCTGCACACTCCGTGCGTGTGTGCACCATGCAGAGGGGGAGGGATGGGGACAGCACGGCTGCCCTGACCCTTTGCTGCCCTCCAGCTTCCAGTGCCCATGGCTGTGCTGTTTCTGCTGTCCAAGGAACGGTTGCTGACCTGCTATGCTCAGCGCAGGCCCCTCCTGCTGTCTGCAGATGAGCTCGCCCTGGAGACCCGCCCTTCTGAGAAGGAAGACACCTCCCTGTCCTCAAAGTTCCAGCCACACTCAGGTAGGGCTGCCAGTGAGCATCCATGCCCACAGCCTGGCCTGGAGGCTTCCCTGGCTACCTGGTCCTAGACAGGTGATCCTGGTCACAGGTGATAAGGGTAAGAAGTACCGTGGCCCTGAAGTCCAGAGGGGCAGGAGAGGGGTAGCGGCCAAGGAAATGAGGAGCCAGACCCTGACTGTGACCTCCATTCTATTCATCCCTGCCTGTGTGGCTTCAGGCAAGTGACTTGATCACTCTGGTTCCACCAGGGCTGTCTACCCCACCAGGGTAGACAGAGGCTGCTTTTGATAGGTAGCTGGAAGCTACAGAAGGTAAAGGACATTGCCAACCAGCAGCCACCTCCCTGGCTGGGCAAAAGGAGGGGAGCAGAGGGAGACTCACCCCTGCCTTCCCACACCTCCCCAGGGCATGAGGACCTCTTCAGCTGCTGCCAGAGGAAGAACTTCCAGGGAGCCCCTTGTACTTTCTTCACCATCCACATCACAGCTGCCCTGGTCCTGTTCATGACGGATGGGATGACGGTGAGCTGCTGCCTGATGCTCCCTCTCGCACCCTCACACCCAAGCCTGAGACCTTGCTGTAGTTTGTTGGTACAGGACGCCGAGTCCTCGGGGTGGGCTCTGTCCTGGCTCATTATGTTTAATTCTCTTATCCTCTACAAAGAGGCCTGTTTTTTACTGATCACAGATGACCGCCAGTGTATAAAGGGACAGAGCCCGGCTCTCCCATTACAGTGAGTGCCAGGGTGTGGGACTTTCAGGCTCCCAAGCCCATGTTGTAAACAAGCAATAGGTCAGACTCGGGCATGCTGCTCCTGCTGGGAGTGACCTGTTATGCTGTTTGGTGCCTTTTCCCAGAAATCTCTTAGGATAAGTCAAGACAACCTTGAGTGACTGAGTGCTTGTTATCAGAGGGATACTCCCCCACCCCCACCAAAGAGAGTAGGTGCTAAAAACCTAGGTGACCCCGTAGAAAGTACTTGCAAAGCCTGGTTGGCTTCCACCTCTCGGGTGACCTTCGGTGAGTCACCCTACGCACTCATCTGTAAAATGAGATGTTTGTGCATACTTTTTTCAAAGCTAAGGAACAGTGTGTGTCTGATATTCCCCCCAAGAATACGCCCCATAGGCACCCAGTGACACCTTTAGGGAGCCCCTCCATCTCCGCAGTGCAGTCTGTAAGCTGCAGCACCTGGATTCTGTCTGAGCTTGGGCTGGAGTATGCTATATGGTCTTGGGGGCAGGGTTTGGGGACAGGGCCACCCTCCTCCCTCAGCCCCTGCACTGCCCAGTGTGGACAGCAGGTATGCTCATCGGGGCCTGGTCTCTTGGCAGGGGGCGTATTCTGCCTTTGTGTACAGCTATGCCGTGGAGAAGCCATTGTCTGTTGGCCACAAGGTGGCCGGTTACCTCCCCAGCCTCTTCTGGGGCTTCATCACGCTGGGCCGGCTCATCTCCATTCCTGTCTCCTCCAGAATGAGGCCAGCCACCATGGTCTTCATCAATCTGGTGAGTGGCAGGGTGGCCTCTGTCCCTTCTCAGTACCCAGAGTGCTCCTGGCCTCTGGAGCCAGGAGCTCTCCAGGCCTCCACCACTGGCGCAGGGCATGTGCTCGGGACTAGATGCTGCTGAAGTGCAGGGAAGTTAAATGAGAGGAATGAACAGTGAGAGGGAATCTGGGAGGTGGAGCCTGTCTGTGTGACCCTGGAAGGTGCCTGCCCTTCTCTGGGCCCCTGACCTTGTATCCTTACAGGCATAAGTACCATGGTGTAGGCTCCAGCTGACAGCTGCTGGGACACAAGAAGGTATTGGTCATGGTCCTCGTGTGTTTACCACGGTGCCAAGCTGGTCAGAGCCCAGTGGTAGCCCAAGATCTCCCAGCCTTTAGAATCAGCACCCTGAGGCTGAGGCTGGAATATGCTCTCTCAGTGCCTCGCTGTCACATCTGTGACCTTCAGGGACTGGTCTGCCTGGCACCAGTAGTGGGCCTGAGTTTGGGTTAGGATCCTTCCCTGATGTGCATCCATGGCACCACGGTAACAGACAGGTTCAGAGTGCAGGGTCACCCGCAAGGTCACCAGGCCCAGAGCCCACCAACACCTGAGGTAGCTCTGGGACAGCCTCTCCCAGGACTGCTTGGTCTCTGCTTAGACATCTGCAGTGACGGTGCTCACTACTTCTCCAGACAGCCCTGTTCATTGTGAAAGTGTCCTTCCTTTTCGCGCTTCTCACTGAGAAGGGGTTGTAGCCAGAATGCAGGAGCCACAGAGGTAGAGACCATGAGACCTTGCATTTGGCCTGTGCTAGCTGCTAATCTGCAGGGAAGAAATTTCAGCCCCCCGTAATAGAGGTGGATGGGTAGGAGAATAACCCTGGAGGCTTTGGGTCAGAGAGGATGGGGCATGGAGGCCACATGTGGAGTCCACTCTGCAGGCGACTCTGAGATGAAGGGAGTTGCTCAGCAGGACTCGGACTCAGAGGCCGAAAGGAGAAAGGGAAGAGGAAGGCCGAAGGAGAGGCCTCTGGGAAATGCCAAGGATGGAGAGGAACTGAGCAAAGAAGGCCCTGGGAGGCAGAGGGCACAGAGGGTGGGGAAGAGCTGAGCTCCAGGGGGAGAGGGAGCTGGGGCAAAGCATGCTGAGACGAGAAAGATTCTAGACATCCCTGAGGAGCAGCAGAGGAAGGGGTCAGGCACTGACAGTGGCCAGCTTTAGTGTCCCCCTCCAGAGAGGACACAGGACCTATTGCTCAGGGAGAGGCCAGTGGGAGAGGGGGTCTGGGCTTGAGGGAATGAACAGGGAGTGCAGAGTCTATGTGTTAGGCACTGCCTCTGAAAACCCACCTGAAGCTGGGTGTAATGGCACCCTGGAGGCTGAGGCAGGAGAGTTTCAGGTTTGAGGCCAGTCTATGCTACATGGTAAGACCCTATCTCAAAACAACAATAAACCAAACAAACACCCTACCCTGGATGCTGGTTTTAAAAAGGATAGTCAGATTCCTGGGCCCAATAGACTGGATGAATAATGTGCAGAAGAGGGCTGGCCATCTAGAGACAAATGCTCTGGGGGGCTCACATCATGGAGCGGGTGTGGGCCAACACCGTCCTAGCATTAACGGTGACATCTTGTAGTCTGCAGTCACTTTTGCCACCGCCAGGCATTGCCTGGGAACCACAGCTGCCGAGTCCAGTGAGTCTCTCTGCATGGCTGCTGTGAGGAAACGGTGGCAGTCACTGTGACCACTAGCCAGTCACCCTGCCCTAACAGTTGCTATTTCTGACTCAGCACCTGCTCCCTGTGTGGGGCAGCATGGGCATGGCCATGGGTTCTGTAAGGCTGGGCCCACCCTCCGGGTGCGGCAGTCTGCTGGGTTGGAGGGATCACTGACTGAGACCAGGGACCCCACAGTGAGGGAGGAAGTCTTCAGCAGAGTACACTACAGTTTGCCAGGGACAAATTCAGTCTTCTGTCACCAAAGCTAAGGTAAGGGGGGTGGTGTCTTTCAAATGTCCCCATGGTGTGACTTCTGGCTCTGCAAAGTCAAAATGACCATGAGAGAAAAAAAAAATTTTGAAAAATGACCATGAGGAGTGAAACATTATAAATCAATTCAGAACATGAAGCAGCCATGACAGCACTATTAAAGACACTCATGAAAGAGGACTCCCAGAACTGCTTCAGAAAGCTACAGGAACAATGGGATAAGTGTGTTTGAAGACGGAGAGGGTATTCTGAGGGGAAATAATGGCTGTGCATTTTCACTGCAATAAATTTTTAAAACATTCACTGTATTTTTCAATCACACCATATGCAGGGGTGGTCACGTTGGTTGGGGGAGGTCCAGCCCGGCCTGAGTTGTACCAGCTCACTGAAAATCAAGCAGACACAAGCCCTGGGACACACAGAGAGTCCTGCCAGGTTGAAGGCCCCAGGTTGGGGCAGTTAATGGCCAGAATATGAGGTACAGGAGACAGCATGGAAGGCAAGGCTGGGAAGTAGACTGAGGCCGCACCCCATGACCTATCGTAACCCTGGTTTTGGACTGTATTCTAAGTGAGCAGAAACTGTCATAAGTTTTCAGATATCTTTTTTTTTTTTTATCGGTACCAGGTATCGAACTCATGACTGCCTGCTTGCAAGGCAGGAGCTTATGCCACTGAGCTAAATCCCCAGCCCTGTCATAAGTTTTCAAATAGTGAACAGAGTTGATCTGCAATGCCTTTAAACAGTGCCCTCCTGTTCATGGGAGCCACTGTCGGGTTAGGGTAGACTCAGAGACCACCACACCTCTGCTGAGCAGTCCAGGATTTTTTTTTTTTTTTTGCCATAGTCCTTAACCATTGTGTAACAGCATCGAGCACTGCCGAGTTGGCCCATCCATAGGTGGATGTGGGGCTTAGCAGAAAGTCATTGACAGGCTCGTTGGACACAAGGGTACAGTGATGGGCTCCATGCTTGTCTGAGGTGTTGGCAGCCTCATGGATCCCAGGAGCTGTGTTATCAGGGCCAAGGGTAGACTTAAGTGCCTCCTGTGAAGCAGTATAAATGTCCATTACATCCTAGCAGTAATGCCTTCCTTGGCCAGGGTTGCAGTTGGAGCCAAGTCTTGTTTTGTCTTGTTTTGTTTTGTTTTGTTGGTACTAGGGATGGAACCCAAGACCTTGCATATAATAAACTTGTACTCTACCACTGAGCTACATCCCACTCCTAGAGCTGATTTTGTATACACCAGAGCCTCAGCCCCCATGTGACTCATGGGCAGGAGGGAAAGAGTGCGTGGGGGGTGTTACTTGCTGTGGGAAGAAGCAGACTGGTGGTAGAAATTAAATGTTCAGTTGGGGCCAGCCCATTCTTCTCCCAGTGACTTCTGTAGCAGAGAAGCAGTTTTATATGTAAATTGAGAGCTCTGGACACAGACAGGTCCTGACGGGTAGCACAGCTGTGAGAGGCCCTGGCACAGAGATTTGAAACCAAGGAGCTGGATTAGAGGGTACTAGAGATAGAGAAGGACCAGAATAGGATTCTGCATTGCCCCATTATAAGGAGACTGAACAGAGGAGGAAGAAAGAGCAAGCAGAGCCATGGGACCACTTTGTATGCCATAAAAACACACTGCCTTGGGGATCACAGGATGACTACTGCTCCTGTGGTTTTGTATGTGGAAGAAGTCTTCTGTGTTGCCTCTCCATGGTACGGGAATGTGCTTCTCCCTTGAGCCATGGCTCTGTGGCACATCTTTCTCCAGGGAGGAGTCTGAGTCTGGTGTGTGATACCAGGAGAGCGGCGGCAGAGGTGGAGGAGCTGGCAGTGGGGTATCACGGGCTTGTGGATCCTGACTTTGCTCTTTCAGTTGGAGAGAAGCCCCCAGGCTCTGCTGTGATGCCCTGGGTGAAGGTCTCTTCCTTCTTCCCTGGCCAGCTCTGCATCTGCAAAGCTGAATTGAGATTGGACTAGATGTTATTTCATGTATACTTTCTAGATTGTTTTCTATTTTTTCCTAGGTATAGATGACTTTACCCAGGATATTTCTGCATATTTCACGGTTTAGGGGATCAAACTTAGGGCTTGGTACATGCTAGGCAAGTGCTTTACTACTGAGTTGTACTCCTAGCCTTGACTCAATGACATTTTCCCCTCTAAGCTAAGAGTTGCAGCCAGGCATGGTGGCACACAGCTGTGCTCCCTGTTATTTGGGAGGCCGAGGCAGAAAGATCACAAGTTTGAGGGAAGTACGGGCAATTTAGTGAGATACTTTCTCAAAACTTTTAAAAAGGATTGGTGGGGGCTGAGAATCTAGCTCAGTGGCGCAGTGCTTATCTGGCAAGCGTGAGGTCCTGAGTTCAATTCCCAGTACCAAAAAAAAGACGGGGGTGGGGTGGGGAAAAAGCTCATCTGGGACCTGTACCAGGCTGCCTGAGTTTCTTCCCTGATGCATTTTGTATAGAAACTACTTGATTTTTTTGTTTTGTTTTTTATTTTGGAGACAAGTTCTTGCTATGTAGCCCAGACTGCCCTTGGACTCAGAGTGATCCACCTGCCTTAACCTCCCAAATGCTGGAATTACAGGCATGTGCACCACACCTGGTGGAATTACTCAATATTAGGATAAAAACATGTAAGACTGGAGTGTGATTTAGTGGTAGAGTACTTCTCTGGGATTTGTGAGTCCTCAATTCGATCCCCTGCACCAGAAAAACAAAAATTTTTTTAAAGTGCTCAAAAACAGGGTTACTTTAACAACAATATGTTTGTGTGCAGAGATCCTTGCTGCACCAGAAAGATTTCTGGGCATGGCAGGAGAAATCTTCGGCAGGGATCCCCAGCCATAGGTCGGCCTTCCCCCATGGGGATCTAACCCTAAGAGGCTGGCTTCATTTCCAGAGGACCCCGTGACCAGCACCCTGTACACCTCTTCCTGGTTATTCTCTACACTCTTCACAGAGAAATGCAGGATTGTCACACACACCTACATACCTGCAGGGCAGGGTGCACAAATGTCTTTGATGGGTTTGCCGTCGGTGCTTAGAGCAGAGACTTTGGAGACAGCATCATTCACTTCTCAGTACTCTTCAGGCAAGTACCGCGGGCTGTTTGCGTAGATGTCCAGGTGGGCTAACTTTCTAGTATTACTGTCAGGGGTCCTTCAAGGATGCCTGACCAGGAATGCAGCTGCTCCCAGATAGGCCAGTAGGTGGCGCAGCGATCCCACTGCCTTGCTTTTGGGCAGGAGGAAACTGGCTCTTGGTGTCGGGGGTGCCCACTTTCTAATCACCTGCACTTCTGCTGCGACAGGTAGGCGTGGTGGTGACATTCCTGGTGCTGCTTATTTTTTCCTATAATGTCATCTTCCTGTTCGTGGGGACAGCGAGCTTGGGCCTGTTTCTCAGCAGCACCTTCCCCAGCATGCTGGCCTACACGGAGGACATCCTGCAGTACAGAGGTGAGGGGTGGACGGGGCTCCTGCACCCTATCTCCATGGTGCCCTGGGCTCTGTCTTCCGAGGTGGAAACCATGGGTGAGTGGGAACAGGTTCCCCACGGAAGGGTCCCAGCCTATGTGGCTCCCTCTGATCAGTATTACATCTGAATCTATGTGATTTTGGGGTTCGCAGAGGCTGCGTGGTCACCTACCTCCCCACTGTGGTGTCTGCAGACCTGCAGCAGGTGGTTCTGGGGCCATGTGCATGTTGGAAACCCCAAATTCAAAGAAAAGCAAAGACACCTAGGAAAAGTTAGGGCAGAGGAGAGGAACTGTGTCATTTAGTAATACCAGTGCTTTGCCTTGTGGTCCGGGACGTTGTTTGAGTGAAGAATGTAAGATCAGAACAAGGGCTTCTCACCTGGTGTGGATTGATACCACTTCTTTGATGTCAGAAACCTCTGAGTCTCAGCTGACGTGCCAGTTTCCCTAGCCTCCCAGGGGTATTTAGCAAAGATCTTTTTAAAGACAAGTTAATTAAAAATAATTGTGTTTTGAACACTAAATGTCACCTTGGAAGTAAGTAGCAATGCCCTCGAAGCTGGAAAAGGAGGTGGGTAGTGTCTGCACAGAGGTTGGGGAAATCGGCTGTAGGGAGGTGGGCGCACTCTGAGCTATACCCAGCTCAGCCACAGCTCTATCAGACCGGAAGTCCGTGGAGAGCACCCCCCTCCCCCGGCTAAGTATCTGACGTCACCACTAAGGGGTAAGAGAAAATATTTCCTGTGATAAATTTGCACGCACTTTGTTTTCAAAATGGAAAACTTTATTATGAGTCATGTATGTTCACTGCAAAAAAAAAAAACTCAAAAGAGAAGCATTATTATAAAAAATAAGCAAAAGTTGCTGATAATAACCCTCTCAGTAGTTTTCTCCCAGTTCCCTTCTGAGCATGTGTGTATTTAAATCCAAATGAGACTATACCTATAGTTTAATTTTTGTAATTTAGAGGACAGAGAATTCATGTGACAGCAAGAATCAAAGAATCACTTTTCTTTTGCCTTCTGGCCAGCCCCTCTGAATGGGAGATCATACATGACCAGAGACCCCCCAAGTCAGGATGTGCCTGGTGACTGTCCATGGAACCAGGACTCTGATATTGTCCTAGCCTTGTGGGCAGCAGCCACATCTACCAGCTGATCACCATCCACCCTGATCTGAGCTGTGCAGGTTGCATGGTAGGGGACCCAGTGGAAGCCCAGGGACACCTCCTCCCAGGCCCCAGCCTGAGTGCTGTGGTTACCACATGCCACACAGTATATGCTACAGAGCTTTAAGCAAGCAACAAATGTTAGTTTAATAACGATTTTATGTGGATTGATGCTGCCTGCAGATAACCATGCAAAAACATTTCCTTGCATTTCTCACTCTTCCTGCCTAAGTTCAGGTCTTATCATTCACTAGTTTGGAGTCCTGAATGGTGCCTGCTTTCCCCAGTTTCAAATCACTTGTCCCTGCTTCAGCAGGGCATGGCTTGTCCCCTTGCCTTCCATCTTGCACCCCTAGCCTGGCTGGCTCATCTTTGAAGTCAGTGTGAGCTCTCCTAACAAAAGCATGGACTGGGCCTCCACGGATGGGCGTTTCTAATGTACAGCCAGGCATGAGGCCCTTTCCAAGCCACCCCCGCACTGCTGCAGGAGACTGGGGACTGCAGTGAAGCACGCGCCCACAACTTCCTGTCTTCCTACGGAGCCCTTTCTCTTCCAGCCTCCTGTCTCCCTGGGGCTTCCCAGAGCCAACGTTCTGGCCACGTGGAGTCACTGGGATATCCTTGATGGCACAAAAACCGATGTACCCCTTCATGCTCTGTCACCTCAGTGCCACCCCCGCCTGCACTGGCCTCTACTCTGTCCTACCCCTTTGCCTACCTGCAATGCCCTCCCCTGTTCGTCCAGGAAGGTTCTTTGATCACCTGGACAGATATGCCCCTTCCTTGGTGCCCCACTGCAAAAACTTGAGCAGGCTCAGACAGGGAAAGGAGATGGGATTGCACGATATTAAAGAAAGGAATGTTAGGATTGTAGGATGTAAGCGTTCCCAGAGCAAAGCCCAAGAAGACTTAAGAATCCAGAGTGGCTGGAATATAGCTCAGTGGCATAAGCGCCTACCTGGCAAGTGCAAGGTCCTGAGTTTGATTCCTGGTACCAAAAAAAAATTCAGAAGTCATCTTTCAGAACTTTCCCAGGATTATGACAGCTGATTGCTGTGCCCTCAACTCCCATTCACCTAGCCAAACCATTCTCTCTTTTAGGCTGTGCAACCACAGTGCTGGTGACAGGGGCAGGCATTGGTGAGATGGCCCTGCAGATGCTGGTTGGTTTGGTATGTAGGGCCCTCTGGTGGGGGGACAGGTGGGGTGTGCTCCTCCAGGCAGGTGAGAAGTTACAGCTGCCATTCCCAGCCTGCGCTGTGGGCTTCTTAGTCCTATGGAGCCTGCCCAAGAAGCAGGGCCTCCAAATGTGGGGTCTAGAGACACGAACAGACATGTGGCCAAGTCCAAAGCAAACAAAGGCTGTGTCTGGGACCAGGGCCAGAGGAGACCCAGGGGAATGCGGGTTGGCTCTCAGAGTCCAGGACAGTGTGAGCTGCAGCCTGAGTTCCTTTTCCATGCCCTCCCCTTGTCCACCTCCAGCCTGCAGCCAGGCTGCAGAGGACCCCACCTCCTGCCCAGCTCCTGCCCTGCCCAAGAGCCTACTCTCCCACCTCTGTCCCAGGAAAAACACAAACACACAAAAAACAGTTCTGGAAATTACGTTCATAGACCTTTTTTATTTTGAGACAAATTCTCACTATGTTGCTAACCTGAGCAGGCTGAGTTTGAACTCACAATCCTGCCTCACCCTCCTGAGAGCTGGGATTGTGGGCATGTGCCACCACGCCTGGCTTAATATCTACTTTTTCATGACCAGTGTAGATACTATTCCCCTTTTCACAAAAAGAGACATTGAAACCCAGAGAAATTAGCCCCACCCTAGGTTAATCGCATGCATGATCAGTGGGGATGACATCAAACACAGTTCTTTCAGTCTCCAAAGTCCCCCTCATCATTTGGCGATTCTCCTCGCATTTACCTTTGCCCTGCTGGGTAGAGGGGTGAGCTGCATTTCATGATGCCCCCTGGCCTGAAATGGCACCAAGTCTAGGGTGGGCTTCAACATGAATCTAATGTAGGGAGGAAGTAGAAGATCACAGATGAAACTGGCCCCCATTGATAAAGTTAGGTGATAGCTGCCTATGAGAGTTCCATGTGCTCCTCTGACATATGTTGTTTTCATAATAAAAAGTTAAAAATCTATACTCTGTGCCAAGTTCAAGTTAGGCCTATGGGTATAGAAACATCTTGTGTACTGGCATTTCAGTGGTGATGTGGAGATTTTCAGAAAGCTCCAAAATACAGAGCTGAAAGATTACAGTGGGACATCTGGATGGCCTGCGACACCCCTCCTCTTTGTGTGCCTGTCCACTGGCCTGAAGCCTCGAGTTGTAGAGGAGTGGCTTCCCCCAGAGTCCCTCTGTGTGGAGCTTTAGTGGCTGACACTTCTGCTTTCCCCCGGCAGATATTCCAGGCCCAGGGCAGCTATAGTTTCCTGGTCTGTGGTGTGATCTTTGGCTGCCTGGCTTTTACCTTCTATGTCTTGCTCCTGTTTTCCCACAGGATGCACCCTGGACTCCCATCAGGTAGGCAAAGAATCACTTTCTACACAAGAGGAGGAAAATGGAGCCGGGGGGAGAGGTTGTGATGTTAGCATGGCAGAAATACTGTTCGGTTCCAAATAAAATGCGAGGAAATGTTTATTTTTCTCCAGCTTCCTTTCCCCTCTTCCTGCCTTCCCTGTGATTGTCCTTGCTGGCTTCCTAAGGCCAGCGAGAGTGGAACGGGCTGGCTCAGGCTTCCTCCAGGAGCAGAGGGGCACGAGGCTGTGAACTTGGCTTCCTGCATCCCACTGTGCTGTGGAACCACGGGCCAAAACTCTCTGCAGCCGTTCAGGCACTGCACAGCCTGCCTCCCTGCTGGAGCTCTGCCCAGGGCCTAATTGGCCACCTCCTTGCAGTTGGGGATTTGACTCTGGCCCAGATCTCTTTTTCGAAAAGACGTCCTTTGGGCCAAATGGCAAAGAAAAGTTTCTGCAGGGCAGATATTCCTCCCAGGAGTGGTCTCCTTCTTGGACACCCAGACAGGGGGAGTCCAACGCTATTTTCATAGCCCTGAGCCCTCCCCATCCCTGCCCTGGGCCCTCAATGCCCAGGCCCATCCTTTGTCCCCACCACAGCCCTCCATCTCATCGGAGAGCCTCCCCCTCACACTCAGTGCAAGGCCAGAAGTGCAGGGGCACCCTTGAAATAGCAGCAAGCATAGCCAAGCTTCTGAGGTGGCTGGAACTGATCACTATCTAGCCTACCAGTCAGCACAGAGCTTCACTGAAGATACATGTTCAGCCCGATGAATAGCTGCTGAGTATCAAATGATTAACAGTAGTCTTTGTGTTCCTTTTTCATGGAAGGCAAAAATAAAATGCAGATTCCTCAACCCTAGTCACTGGTCTCAACAAACTGTCCCCCCAACCATCACCACCAAGAGTCAACAGGGCTAGTAGTCCTGACCTTTCTGGGGGCTCCCTAACCAGCCAGGGCCAGGGGAGGAGCAAAAAGTTGCACCAGCTCCCACAGTGAATCACTGCTGCTAGCAGTCGGAGCTGCCAAGACATGCTGCCTGTTCTGTATGGCTCTTTTCTTTTTTTTTTTTTTTTTTTTTTATGGCTCTTTTCTTTTGTAGTTCCTACCCAAGACAAACCACTTGGAATGGAGAACTCTGAGTGCTACCAGAGGTGAAAACGGCTGCGAGGACTCCAGCCTCCGAGCACCAACGCAACCACACTGCTGCAGGAAGCCAGAGCTCATGGGGAGGCCTCTCTCACTGCCTTTGCTTGACTCTTCTCGACTCATTCTCGGTTGGGTAGAAGACATTAAATTGAGTCTGGGTACCCGGGTCTTTCCCTGGCAAATCATTAGATGCCTGCCTACCTGCTGATTCCAACTGCCTTTGGCTCCCTGGTTTGGCTTTGGAAAAAGCTGTCCAGGATACCGAGCTGGAAGGGCAAAAGGCAGCTGTGCATGGACCACACCCTAGGTTTGAGATCACTCTTAATTGAAGTTTGAAAAAATAAGTTGAAATTACAAAGCTTAATAATGATCATTGCTATATGTAGATATATTTCAAATCAATCAAAACAAACCCCAAGTTACTCCCTGGCATGTTCAAAAATCTATGTGTTTTTTTTACTAAGAGTCCGGAATCCCTCCCATTCCCACTGTGGAGATCCAGCAGCTCATTCGTTTTGGAGGACATCAAAACAAGAGGCTGGGCTGTCCTTTCTGAGACACCACTGCAGTGGTGTCCCTGGCTAGCTCAGGCCAGCTTAGAAAAGCTGACTGGTCAGTTTTCATTTTGAGAACTGGTTGTCTAATGCAGCCATAATTAAACTTAATTAACTTATAATTAAATTATATTAAATAGCCAGAATGTAATTACTTCCTAATTTCATTATAGTGACACCCTTGGAGTTGTGTGTGGCACCTAGGAGTGGCATGCTGCTGGACCTCTGTTCCCAGGCCTCTTGAAAAGCATGCTGGTAGCTTGAAACCCACTGTGGTGGGAGTACTGATATCACAGAAACTGGCAAGGGCTACAAATCATATGCTGATGGTCCTAGAAATCATCTAGAACGAGATGGCTGCTCTGCTTTCTTGACTGACACAGAGTAGCATATAAAAGGTATAACCAGTACTAAGAATTTCCAAAATTACCTGCTTCAAGTTTTACATCTTTTATAGGGGCAAAATATTTTTATCGCGTCAAGGTCTGAGACTATTCAACAATTCAAGGTATACCCTATACCAGAAGTAGCCAGGACTTTCAGCTCCCATGTAGTGATGAGGGTGGTTACGGAAGGCAGATGCCCCAGCTCAGACAGGACTAGAGGGCTGAGGCTTAGGAAGCAGGGGAGTGACTTGGAGCCATAGACAGCAGTTACAGTAATTGGGTGACCTGCACTTTATGTATATACCAGTGTACATGTATGCATCAAAACCTGAGATCGTGGTTCCTATCAACCTCGCCTGATACCAAAATGTTTTTCCTGGATCTGTGTTAAACTAGCCCTTGCTGACCACACCACCAGACCGTTGCGAGGATAATCTGGCTCAGGAGGCTGGCTCTGGGCAGTTTGGTTTGGCTCTGGGCAGATCTGTGAGGCTCCCAACCTCACTTTTGTTTTTTCAACCAGTAAAGTAATATTTCTAAAAGCACCCTACCTCACAGGAATTGTAAGAGAATTAAGTGAATTTGTATAAACTACTTACTATATTCCTGACCTAGAAATTAATTAGTAAACTTTAGTAACTTTTATTTTTAAAACCTCCTCAGAAGTTTAGAAATTGTTCATATGTTTGATACATATTTATTATATGTAAACAGATCCAACCTGTTAGGAAAGCTGGTTAGTGACCTAGGGGTATAGATTTAACTATATAAATACTTTTAAAAATATTAAATGCTAATCAAATTTTAAAATGCAATCTAATGGTAGCAACTGGCCTGGGCGTAGAGAAAGCAGTTGTATTCAACTTGCAGTTTTTCAAGAAAATACCCTTTTTATACAGATTTAGAAAGAAAATCAATGGTATATCTAAGTTGATCATAATTTGTTAATACAGAAAATACCAAAACAAATCTAAGAGTACCTTTCCTAAAATAAAGTATTTTACATCTATGAAGTGTATGATCTGTTATGAAGGACAGCTGACTCGGGTATGCAAGCAGTTCATATGGTTCAGGTATTTTCTGTTTTGTTTTAGTTTATGCAGTGCTGAGGGTGGAACATCACTGAGCTACAGCCCAGCCCTCATGGCCAACTCTCAGAAGGAAACTCATAGACCTCAGGCTGAGTTCCTATTCTTTCCTCTGTGTAACGGAATAGGCAGAAGGTTCTCACACCACAGTTCAAAGTCACTTACAAAGCAAGAGGGCTTTCTCCCAGCATCTCCTTCCTTATAGAAGTTCAACATTTCAGAGTGCTGTGAGGCCATCCTGTTCCCAAATTCCCTCTGCTGGCTGAACTAGGGGATCTAACCAACAGCACACAGATGAACTAAATGGAGACACTGACGTGTAGATGCACTGCAGAGAACACTTCTATTCATTTGAGAATACCTGACCCAGCACCTACTATGCTCAAGGCTTTACGGTGCCATTTCAGCTGTTAGAAGTCCCTGCCACACACGGATGACACTGAGGGTGAAAAGAGGAAGACAGTACACAAACACCTAATAGGCCAGAGGGTGAGCAGTAGTGGAATCCCATCCGAGAAAGCAGCGGAAAGTCACGATATGCATGGGAGGCCTGCCCAGGAAGAAGCAAGCCATCAAGGACCTGGGAAAGAGCCAGTCAGGCACAGCATGAGGGCCTAGACTGGAATACATTCCTAGAGCTGGAAAAGCAGCAGCAGGAGGTGTGAGTGCAGTGAGAAAGGACAGCTGCAGGAAGGAGGCTGCATGCTGACTGGGACCAGCTGGGATGCCTGACTGGTAGCAGTGTGGGTGGCCCTGTGTGAGATGTGAGGTTACTAGGAGAACTGCTAGGCAGGAAGTGACATGGTCTGGTGCTCGTGTTTCACCAATCACCAGGGTTGTTACATCGAAAAGAGACTTCAGGGTAAGCCTCGGCTTGGGAAACCAGCGCAGGTACTGCAAGACTGAACAATGGTGGTCTGGACCAGGTTGATAATGTGAAGTGGTGACACCAATTGGACCAAAACTGTATTTTGAAGGTCAGGCTGAGAGAATTTGTTGAATTGAGTGTAGGTATTGAAAGAAAGATGAGCTATGGTCCCAGCACTCAGGAGGCTGAGGTAGGAAGATTGCTCAAGGCCAGCTTGGCTACAGTGAGTTGAAGATCAGCCTGAACTACACAATGACGTCTTTTCTCAAGAAATAAAACAAAACAATGGAAATCAAAAATGACTCCAAGGCATTTGGCCTGAGTGAATATATGAGACCATGTAACACTGGAGCTCTCAAGAGTTCTGTTTTGCTTTATACATGGTCATTTTAGGATGCTATCTATAGGCATCAATAATACAGATACAAACACCTAAAGGCAAGTCAGAAGTGAAGATCTAAATGCTGTGGTCACACACATATAGTGAAGAAAACCATCTAGGGAGTAAATGCAGAGGTCGGAAGATTGAGCCCTGGGCTCTTCAATACCTGAAGATTTAGAAAAGAATGGATTCAACAGAGCAAGGGAAAGAAACCAGGGGTAGCAGGATGTGCAGGAGAAAATGAGGTTTTCTGGAAAGTATGTGAAAAGCATCTTAGGAAGAAGAAAACGAGAAGCCGACAGGAGCTGAAAAGCCACCTCAGATGATGACAACCCTGACTGGAGAGGGGCTTTATAAACCATAGTGATGCATTCAAAACACACAGGAGTCACAGGGTGACCTCTGGAAGGCTGGGGATTTAGCTCTGGCTCAGGCACTTGCCTGGTATATACAAGATTGTGAGTTCAATCCCTGGTACCAAAAAAAACAAAAAAAAAAAACCAAAAAAAAAAACCAGGGCAGCCTCTGGCACTTCAGCAAACTCCTAATACCAGGCGTTGCATCCAGCCTGTACAGCAACCTGCACAGCGGGTTAGAGATTTTTGCTCCTTTTCCTTACTATTGTATGCTGCTATCTTACCTCAGTGACTAGGGTCACTTTCATTGACTCCCTTCTGTTACAGTTGCAATGCAGTGTAAGGACACTGGATGTGAGCTCTTAACGGCTTTTCATCATCAGCTCCTATCTGATGATGCCAGCCCTGGAAAGTAATATTGTTGAGGTGTAAGCGTGTCACTGTACGCATCTATTAAACCCAGAAAACATTTGTGAATTAAGCATGCCTCTCGAAAGACAAAGTTGGGTCAACAGTGGAAAGGTTAGAAAATACATAATGGCTTCAACAAGCTAGCTAGCTATTTTGTTTCGTTTTTTGTTGTTGTTTGCTTATTTTGGAGACAGGGTCTTGCTATGTAGTGCAAGCTGCTCTTGAATTTGTTTATGTAGCCAAGGTTGGCCTTCGACTCATGGCAGTCCTACCTCAGCCTCCCAAGAGCTGGGATTAGATATGCACCACCACGCCTGGCTGAAAAGGCCTATTTGATAAATCAACTGGAGTCCCCTATTTCAGATTTCAAAAAACCATACAAAGAAACAGTGCTAGAAAGAAAACAAGGAAAGGCTGCTCCTTTCAAAAGATATAATAAAGCCACTTAATTAATTATTTTTTAAAAACCCCTTTAAAATGCTAATATTTAAAATAAAGGAATTCGGGCAGAGGGTTTAGCTTAGCGGCCTAAGTGCCTGCCCTGGCAAGCGCAAGGTTGTGAGTTCAATCCCCAGTACTAAAAAATAAAATAAAGGAATTTTGCATGATGAGTAATTTTTCTAGCCAGTCAGTTCTCTTTTTAATTCCTTTTATGCCAATAATCATTTTACAGCTGCCCCCTTCACCCAGCATTCCAAACTAGGCTTTAAATATTTTCATGTAGATACATAGCAGAGCAGCTGACGACCAAGTTTCCACAACCAATCCTGGGAAAGCTCAATTCTTTCCTGACCCCCACACCAGTAGTATGTCTGAAAATGTACCCAAAGAGACTACTTCAGTGGATGTGAGAGAAGGGAAATGAATACTCTATTCAGAAAAGCATTTTGTTAAAAATATTTATTTAAAAAAATACAATTGTTGCCCGATCTACTGACAAATCTGTATAACTTTGCATTCATAGTCAATCTGCTACAGTGCTTTCTTAAAGCCAGCTCGGCTTGCATTATACAAAGCAAATCCCTCTATCAGTTCTTACATAAAAGTTTTTTTTTAAATCCTCATTTTTCTTAAAAGACACATATCACCACTACAGACTTTTAACAGGATTTTTTTTTGCATACAACTTGGGAAGCGATAGAAAAAGAATCACCTGATTGGTTATTCAGAGCAACCCTTACAATGTCTGGAGATGCCCTGAGTGTCGACTATGTTTTTTGTTTTAAAGCAGCATATTATAAATCGGTCAAAGTGCCAGCATATCCTTTCCCTCAAAGACCTAAATTATGAAATTTCTCTGCCACACACACAGGAAAAACTCAGGACTATAAACATCCTGTAATCAACCTTAAAATCCTATAATAAACCTTAAAACAATATCCCTTTGTTCCCCAACAGGTAAGGTGAACTGCTTAGCTTTATCAACAACTAATACGAGTTTCAGTCACTGTTCAGTTACCATTTTAATTGCTTTTTCAGGAAAAAGGGGAAAAATGATGATTTTGCTACTTTGAAGTTCTCCCTAATATAAACTGAAATTAATTCAAACAAGTTATTAAAAACACAATCATTCTTTTGGACAGGTGTATACTTGCACTGTTTCTTAATACTTATAAAATGATCAATACTAGATATCATGAGAGTTTAAAATAAACAAGGAAGTAACTGTGTTCTCAATTGAGCTGAGTATGTGGAAAATTCTTATCACACACTCCAAATTAAGGCATGCACAGGAAATAATACTTGCTGTCCTGTGCTGGGGGAGGGATATACTGCAAGAGTACTGTAAGCACTGTAAAAGATCTAAGCTTTTTTTCTGAATTAAAGACTAGTTAAATGAAAATTAAAAGTTTGTTGTTTAATATATCTCTTAATTTTCCATTTGGGGTTGTTTTTTCAGATAGGATCTTGATATATGCTATATGAAAAGGAAAATTATTAGTTTATTCCTTAAAATACAAATTTAAGCTGGGACCAATAGTGCATGCCTATAACCCCAGCTACTCAGGAGGCTGAGACAGGATGGCTTGAGCCCAGGAGTTTTGAGGCCAGTTTCAGGAACATCGACCTAGGCTCAAAAGAAAAAAGAAAAGAAAAGAAAATTTATACACATTATACACCTTTCTCTTTTAAGGCTAATTTTATTGGTGAATAAAGGGAATAATATTGAGAAACTGTAATTAAAAGTTTCATACTTAATCTCACTACCCACAATGAAACCTGCTAGAAGGCCAAAGTGAAAAAATAGATATGACTGTGATTAGAAAAGATTCAGGGCCAAACCAAATAAACAGGCCTCCAGTAAATAAAAGTATTAATGGTATTAATTTTTTGTCCTTACATATATGCATTTTAGTTAATTTCACTAATACTGAACAGAGAAGTTCCTGAAATATGCTACTTTACTACATAAAGAATTAATGTATATACAAAGGCCACTAGTAATACTGCCCCAAACAATGAAAAACTGAAATGTCTCAGAAGGAACTGTCTGGGTTCCCTACATTACAAACAGTAAGTAACAATGATTAAAGAAGAAAAGGGGGGCTTATTACATGGATAATTTTCAATTTCAATGTAACTTATCAATTGCAAATTTTTAAAAATCATAAATTTTTGTGAAACACATTAAAAACATAAATGACTGTAAAATACCCTAGCCAAAAAACATACCTTACTGAGCCTGGAAGAATGGCTCATTAAGTAATCCATTTATCCCTTTCCAAACACTCTTCAATTCCCCAAAACATAAACGAGAAATCTTACTTCCCAGACCCTCAATATCAAGTTGAAATTAAACAAAATAATTAAGTGCTTCCAGTTATTAAAAACAAAACAGTGCTAATAATGGTGCCCAAGAAAAGTGCCAAGTGATTTAACACCAGTAAATGGCATTCCCACCCTTGAACTCCAGGCAGACTTGAATGACTTTATAGCAAGAACTCCAATCCAGCCACAGGGCACCCCCCATCCAGAACGATCCCAGGCTGGACAGCACGGCTCATATTCTTTGGAAGGAACAAGAACCAGATTAGGCCTTTATGAGATGGGAAACAAGGCAAACTTGAGAAGACTACTCAGTGCCAGACACACTTTTTTGAGGTTTCTGCTAATGCAACTTACATACAGTTTAAAAGGGTAACATGTCACAAAGCTAGAAATCCTCCACTTTTATAATAATCCATGGTCACATTTCTGTATTTTAGAAATACTGGTTATAGTATAAACCTCCTCTCTTGAGAAACAACCAATGTAATAAAGATTTTACACAAAAGCAAATAAAAACAGGATTTTTAAGAAAGGCCATCTTACATGAGAGAATAGTTTAAGATGACTATTCAGAGTATGTCACATTTAAGTGCTATACTTCTAAAGCGTTGGCAAACAGTTTTTAAGGCCTATGATTCTATACATTTACAAACTGAAATGTGCAAGGTATTAATCTTTAAAACGTAGCAACTACAAAGTGCAGCAAAAGTTTAGTTTTAGTATAAAATAGCCTAAGAGCCATCCTAGTCTAGAGGATGAATATGTTCCCTCTGAAAAACACACACACACCTCTCAATCAATATATCACATATACATGAGTATACACATGTACATATATGTACTTGGCCAATAATAAATCAGAATGACTTAGAAATGTTCTAGTCTCCCAATTAAATGTTATCAAAGTATGTATTTAAACTTCATAAAAACTTCCTGATGTTTATTACACTCCAAGATTACCATTCAAAAGATTTACTAGGTTTTGCAACCCTCATGAATTTCCTTGTTAAAGGTTCCATCTTAAATTATGGGGGCTGGTGGTACAGCTCAGTGGTGGAGTGCTTAACCTAGCTCGTGCAAGGCCCTGGGTTCCATCTCCAGCACCACAAAATAAAATGCGAACAATACCTTCAATGTCCTGGTTTCTGCAGAAAGTTTAAAGCCCGCATCTGCTGTCACACAAAGCCCTCTGGATTTCCATCTTTCACAACGGCAGCAACCTAGAAATGGCTATTTTTCTGCCAGGATATGTAAAAGTTACCCTAGTTTCAGAAAAGCAGCTTGAAGAACCAGACAGCCTCCGAAACTGCGCTTGAAGGACACTTGGCACTACCAGCAACAATTTACCTTTGGACCTGTTGTATTTATAGGTCAGAGCATGACTGTGATGTAACAGGCTCCACCGACCACAAGGATGAAGTCACACACCTTCTCTTGTTTAATGCCACACCACCCAAAAGGAGTCTAAATTCCAGATTAAAATTTTACCTTCAGAAAGCAGAGTTCTGATGACCTAAGGAGTAACAAACAGGGCACCTCATTTCCGGCAATGCCAGCAATGAAAAGAAAAAACATTTGTTGATTCCATAACATGATGATTATTCAAAAAACAAACAAACAAAAGACTAGAAAAATACTTCCCACAGAATTCACTCTGGTTCAGACCACCTGCTAAACAAAGCCAGTTTATGTGACCCCTATTTCATTTACTGCTATAGACCAACCACCTCACTGCTCAATTCCTCTTCAGAAACAGCATCTCCTATCACACTTTCGTGCATCAGGAAAAGTCTCTAACATTCCTGCGGCCCAGGTTTATCCTGAGATTTAGAATGGTACTACCTCAGCATGATTCTAGATTTCTGGCATGGGTAAATAAAAGGCATAGTAAATAAAGGGATAAAAAAGAGACTATCAAGAAAACTACTCCTTCAGATACTAAAGTGTCAGCCTCCAAATTAAAACTTAGAGCAAAAAAGTGTAAGCTGTATATTTTGGCATAAAACAATGTGAAATAATTCTGAATTTCTTGGTAATAAGGCTAAAAGAAGTCCAAAAGTTTACTAACAAGATAAAAATAGTCACACCTAGTACAAAGATGACAGAGACAACAGGCTGTTAAAAATAATATGCATGAAGATCTGGCAAACATTTGCTAATGGGTTATTTGGCAACTTACAAAAAGAATTTATACAAATTTCAAAAGCTGACAAGTTCTTCTGGGATTTTCCTATATATCACACACACATACCAAATCACACCTAGTTGCCAAGATCTCACTGAGAGGCAGTATTCTATCTGTGATCCCAATAGGGTATGTGTTTCAAGGCGCACTAGCCACCACCCTGACCAAATACCCTATCCTTCATCTCCATGTGCACATTTTGTATTATTCATGCTACTTTAATAGAAGCACTACAAACAACATATACACACATGAATTTTAACAGGGAAAGTTTTTTTCTTCAAAAACTTTTTCAATTTAAGGTGTGTGTTCTAAAAGCCTGGGGGCAACTTTTCTGATATACCACTGGTTACCCCTCCAGGTGCTCAACTCATCAGAAACATAACCTGCTATTTGAGATGTTTAGATTCATCACACAAGTTCTGACATCAGGGTGTGACAATGCTGCTGGTGAAACAGTGATACCCCAGTGCTGGGGTACACAGAGCCTCCCAGCTCCTGGCCACCACACCTCTGTGTTATGGAACAGCCTGTAAGTCCTCATTTTATTTTAATCTGTAATTTAACATGCAGATCTTCAAAGAATGTTCCAGTTAAAATTCATGGGTTTACTTTTGCCATCAAAATTTGAAGGAAAAAAAAATTATACCTATAAACTGTCATAATTGTTTTCATGGGGGGGAAGTAAACCTGTATTTTAACTCTTAAGAAGAATAAGGCTGGGTTGATCTTTTCATTCTTCCAAGTTGATCTCTAGATTCTTTAATTATGTGATTTTTTTTAATCCATGAAAATTCCTCTTTGTTCTATCATAAAGGATGTCTTTTAGAATAGCATACAAATAGTACAGCAAACCTTTTTTTAAGACTACTCAAGTCAGATAGGAGATTTTCATTTTTAAAAATCAGCATATGAATGAGAAAAATACATTTTATAACTCAGGTGAAAAGCTACCCTGGGTGGAGTACTGCAGTGGTTTGCTGGCACTGGATCTGAGCACATCCCTTCTCAAGTCACAGGTAGGGACTGAAAACAGCCACAGAGGGAGTGGCGTGCATGGCTGTCCCCCTCCATTCAAGATCCTGGTTGTTAAACATTTCTTAGCACATGACTGAGTGAAGAGCAGCCAAAATGCAAGAAAAGCTGAGGTCTCACAGGAGACACCTCAAAACACCCTACAACCTGCTCTGCTCACCTCAGGCGAATGCCACCCAACCACGCCCACCCTGACAAGTGCCTGGGGACAGTATCAACTACATAGTGAGCCCAAGGGAAGTCTCCTGGGAAACACAGACGGTAAGTGGCATGTCACCTTTTGAAGCTAATGAGAAGTCTGTAACTGTTCAAAAGAATATGAAGTTGAAGCTTTTCCAGGAAGGAGGTAGTCTACAAATAGAACTGTCTGCCTCGTATACTGGCTAAGGCTGTAAACTTTGACTTAAGAACACACACACACACACACACACACACACACACACACACACACACTCTTGTACACTTACCCAAATTAGCTGACCTCAAAGAGAAAGAAGATCATCTGCCTCCTAAGGCCTTACACCTCTCAGAGGCTTTGGCTCCAGGCTTACAGAAAAAAGGAATCTAAAACTGCTTCCTAGGAAGTTGCTCTGACTGTTTTAACAGTGCCCTTGGTTTCAAAGCACTTCTGTACTGAGACAGTAAACCATCAAATGTATCACCTGTGAAAACAAATCAATGGCTTTCCTCCTTTAATTAAAAAAGATAAAAATACATTTTTGCTTTCAGAATTTAAAACATCTAGTTTAGTCAGTCAACAATATTTATTTACTATACAAATGTTAACCTAATAAACTTTACAAAGTGCTGCTAAGGGGTCTAATTCCAAACAGGTATGCAGCCAGGTGTGGTGGCGCACTCCTGTAATCCCAGAACTCGGGGAGGCTGAGTCAGGAGGATTGTTGCAAGTTCAAGACCAGCCTGGACTACAAAGCGAGCCCAAGGCCACCCTGAACTGTATAGTGAGACCCTGTCTCAAAAAGACAAAAAACAAAAACAAACAAAAAACAAGCATGCAAAGTCATTCAACAGGGGAAAAGACAGTTCACTGTGCCTGCTCCCATCACTGCTGAACACGACCTCTCCACACTACTATTGCACATCTTGGGAACAGAACTGCAGCTGACAACCACAAATGAACCAGTAACAGGTCTCCAACACTACACATCAGAAGAAAGCTCACTGAGTATCCACTCCACTACAAACGACTCATCTTAAATACCTTACCTAAGAGCTTCTCTACTATTTGTAAATAAATTTGAAGTGAGTATTGTTATTCAGAAGATGCTGGTTTGCCTCAAGTCCTTACCACTTAGCTCATGTGACTCATTTACAGTGTTGAGAAAGAGTTTAACACACCTGCCCAGTAATGCCATCAGCATGCAGACTGATGCAGGCAGAAGAACCTCCGAGAGGCTAGCGAGATGGATCAGATTTTGAACTTTCAGTCTCCAAAGCTATGAGCTAAATAAACTTCTATGTAACTTAAAGAAAAACTACTTCAGTAGCATGGTGGTAATGGCAGTATATAATTTAGGCCCGGGCTTAAAAGCCAAATTTTTCAAAAGATTCCAATGTGTAACTGGTACCAATTCAGTTTGGGGGAATCAAAAGATCTGTGTGCACCTGGCACTGATTATAGTACTATATGGTAATATTTTATAAATTAGAGCCAATGCACACCTGTGATCCCAGCACTCAGGAGGCTGAGGCAAGAGATCACCACAAGTTTGACATCAGCTTAGGCTACACTGTGAGTTCAAGCCCTGCCTGAACTGCATAATGAGACTGTGTCTCAAAAAACAAATTCAGAAATTTGGTAACATAGAGATACAGGTCTACATTTTCCAATGTTAATTAAAACATTAATTCCTATGTATGAATATTGCCAAATGAACTGATTCTCCGTAATTAGACCTGAACATCTCTGTCACATTATTAACTGAAGGTTTCACTTACATTCCACTTTCTGAATGGCATGTAATACTGTCATAACCCCTAATAGCTTTAGATTTAGAAGGAAAAGTGATGACCATACAGAAGAAAATGGGGTAAAATGAGCAGGAACATGGCAGAGTCCCTCCCCAACTCAGTGTCTCCTAACTGGAAGAAACCCTTCATGTTGTCCTAAGGTATCAGTTGAACCCAAGTCCACTCTTCTAAAAGTCATCACTAACTATGCGGTGCCCTGCAGGAATACAATCATACCAAACAGCACCATTTCATGCTAGACACAGGATCCTACAGTCTCACAGGATGGTCTAAAACCACCTTAAATTCCAGGCTTATGTTGAAACAGACTAGCTCCATGTGCTCGTCAGGTGAAGAAGAGATCATGTATGTGGCTAAGAGACCTGCTGCATACATGTGTACGTGGAACTGCTTCCACACCCACACAGTGCAGTTCACTGCAAAACATTCTGCACAACTGTACTGCTGCATCTTCTTTTGTACGAACAGGAATGAATTATTTTCTCCCACTGCTTATAAACAGCTCACTTTTACTTATTCAACAGAGCACACTCAGTCCTAAAGGCACAGCCAATTTCATTTAACTAGTATTTCTTAAAATAATAAATTCTAAGCACAATTTTCTTCTTAGCCAAAAGATCTCAATAGTCAGGAGGAGTAACTTTGTTCTTAATCACTCTTGCTAAGTACAGCTGCTAAACCCCACCAAAATTACTTTAGCACTTAGCGCCACATTAAAAAAAAGACAGGGATGTGGTAGTGGACTCCAATTAAGGCATTTCACACAGTCGTAACTTGAAACCTATTTAAAGAGAATCCTGAAAAAGGTGTTTCAGTGGGAAATGGCAAAAGTCATAAAGTCAGTCTCTCACTCCAATGCTGTCAGGTTGAATGTCTCTCCATTTCTATGTCCCTTGAGTCTCTCACACCACAAGGGCACAGATTATGTCTTCTGCAGGTCCGGGGAAAATGGGCCAGGAGTGGAAGGTCCATCCAGGCCAGACAGGGTGAATGGCCCATGACCGTTCAATACAGAAGGAAACTGGGAAAGAAAGAAAAACATGCCATCATCCTGTTACTCCGTCCCAACTTTTACTTTCTTCCCACTATACTCCCTGAGGTAAAATATGATAGCCTTCCAAAGTGACTCAAAAGACAAATGCAATAACCATTTGTGACACAAGAGTATGATGGTGTAACACAAACTTTTAAAAAATGTTGTTTGCCCTGACATATTAAATTAAATATTATCTCTCTCCAACCTACTCAATGGAGTGGGAACACAGAATCATCTTTTACCTTCCACCAAATCTAGCACATAGGGTTAGTTCACTTCAAAGAAGGTTGCAGAAAGTCCAGTGAATGGCAACACGCACTAATGGTATTCAATGATAAAGCAAATCATGAAAAAGAAGCCCACGAAGGTCAAGTAGAGGGTCCTCATCCTAAAAAGGGCTTCGGCTTCCCTGTCATGTATCCTAAGACCCCCTGAATAGGGCAATTCCAGGCGGAAGCTGCAGTAACATTATAAGTCTGCCTAAGGTCTAAGATCAGACCAGCACTCAAATATCTGTTCGGGAGAGACAAAATATAAAAAAGAAAAGTGAAATACAGAAAATCTCACCTCTTCCTGTTTGGTAATCTAGAAATTTCTTTCAAGAAACAAAAAGGACAGATGTGGAAGGAGGGTAGCTCAGCAGACCACATCCCTAGCAAACCTAAGGCTCTAAAGTCAATTCCTGGCACCACCATTAAAAAAAAAGGAAGGGAGGAATAACACACCTATATCCCTACCGCCCCACCCTGGGAGTTCTGGGGACTGAACCCAGTGCCTTCACACTGAGCTACATCCCTAACTCCTTTCTTCCCCCAACCCCTTTCCTAATTTTTCTAGACAAGGTCCTGCTAAATCACTAAATTCCCCAGACTGAACTCAAAATTTGTAATCCTGCTGCCTCAACCTCCCAAAGTGCTGAGATTACAGGTATGAACCACCATGCCTGGCCACTACATTGTATCTTTTTTTTTTTTTCACATACTGGAGATCGAACATGCACTTGCCAGGCTGGTCCTTACACCGCGGAGCTAAATTCCCAGCCCTGCATTAGCTGGCCTCATACGCTGGGCAATTTTCCTGCCTCAGTCTCCCCGTGCTGAGATTACAGGTATGTGCTATCACACCCAGCTTTTTAATTATTATTCTGCAGTGTACCTTTACTTATAAAAGGTTCATTGTTTGTGCCACATCATGCCTGCCAGCTTTATATACCTTGTGCTTCTTGTCTTGTGTACCTTGTCTCTTGACTATATCATTTTCCCTTGTGTTTACATACATATATGAGATGCCCCAGTTATGCAATAGGTTAGATCATATAGGTTTGTATAAGCACATTATGATGGACATGCAATTACCAAACTACCTGGTAACAAATGACTTTCTCAGAATGTGTCATCACTAAGGAATACATGATTATCTGCATGTATGCATTTGGCTATGTATACAGACACAGTCATTGACTTACAATGGCTTAACTTACACTAAAGTCCTATGCATCCAGTAGACACCATGCTGTGAATTTTCCTCTTTTCCCAGGCTAACTACATGCATAGGATGTTCTTGCCATGCTGGGCAGCAACAGAGAGTGGCAATTTCTAGTCCACTGCTGCATCACAAGGAAAAGCATCAACACTACACCACCATGTGTTATTCAGCAAGACAATCTCATAAATTAGGTATACAGACTTCGTGTCCACAAGGATTCATCAGGGCTAACACATAACCCTGTTGCAAACTGGGTTGCAAACATGTACATGTTTTTTGTTTTGTTTTTGTTTTGAGATGGAGACTGATTATACTGTCCAAACTAGCCCAAAGGTTCAAGTGATTTTCCTGCCTCGGCCTCTCAAGCAGTCACTACACTCATATTACACACACACACACACACACAAATTTTTTTAAAATAGTGGCTTTCTAGAGTTATAGGTGGCTGAGCTCAAAACTCTAGCTAGTACTAAACAATTACTGGTCATATAATATACTTGTAAACGAGGAAAAGGAAACTCGACTGTATATATTTATCCAAGCTCTCTGCTGGCAAGAAGATTAACATTTAGAAATGAAAGATAAAATTCAAAGAATATTTAATAAATATAGTTGTATAATGATTAAATTGAAGAGTGGGGACCAGGGATACAGTACAGCAGCATAGCACCTGCCTGGCAAGCACAAGGTTGTGAGTTCGGTTCCTGGTAATAAACACACACACACACACACACACACACACACACACACAACACACACACTTAAGAAAGGGACACTGGCCCTCTGCCTGCTTCCTTGTTTTACCTCCCCCAATTTAAAGAGACAAGACGCTGATGAAATTACCTGGAAAAGTGTGTTAGCACCTTGCAGTCTGGCTGGACTCAGAGGAGCCACAGGGCTGAGCGTGCTCCAAAAGTGGATGCTGGAGAGCAAGGGGCTTGGAGTCAGCAGGATGGGTGTCTGCAATACGCAAAAACATCCACTTACTGATCAGCAGGGTTCTGCTTTATCCTAGCAGCTGCAGAGTCAGGTTATACATAAATCTGGATACAAAATGAGCCCAAATACCATGCTATTCTCCACTTCAAGCATCTCTAATTTTAGAATGTTATCATGATGAAAAGCTTAGACCTCATTTTGTAACCTAAGAAAGGTAAAGGTCAAAATAACTACTTTTTAACCCAACTTTTTTTTGAGACAGGGTTTCATTATGCAATTTAGATTGGCCTTGAACTCATTTTGTAGCTAAGGCCGGCCTCAAACTCATAGTAATTCTCCTGTCTCGGCCTTCCAAAGTGTTGGGATTACAAGTATGTGCCACCACACCTGACCAATCCAACTTTTTTAGGGTCTTATCTGAATTTGGGTACAGAGGAATAAAGGGAAGCTGAGTAAACAATCTGGAAGTAATCTATTTCTACAAGATGAGCAAGTTAATAAATATCTATTGTAACTAACCAAACCTGTTACTCAACATTACATGCGTCCTTTTTTTGGAAGGTTCTTAGGACCTACTGTTTTCTAATATCACTGCTGGGGGTAGGGAAGAACTTTATTCAGGATGAAGTAAAAACCCCAATATATTCATTTACTTATAGGACAATGAACTTAAAGACAACACCCCAAGCCTTTTATTTTGGCAATCCTAAATGAGATGAGGATTAGATTACTTTCACGGGTTACATTTAACCTTTCTAAGACAAACCTATGTAACAAAGAACAAACACGTAAGTGTAAATTCTAGATCTGCTTTAAAAGCTGAATGAATGCAGAGGACTAGAAGCAGCTGAGTTACCTGTGAAAACAGCGCTGGGGTAAGAGAAGCTGTAGGAAGAGATGGGCTCAATATGCCCAGAGGGCTTGGGTCACTGCCTGTGATCACAAGGGTAGGTGCCAGTTCTAACCCTTTGGGTTTCTTGGATCTCGATGAATTACTTGTTTTGTCCTTTTCTGGCAGAGGTGAACCCTGGCTTTTAGGCTCCAGAGACAAGTTCTCTGGAAGTTCCACTGACTGAGAAGCCACTGAGTCAATGTCCGTGTCGATGTCTGGGTTGGAACTCAAAGGTGGAGAGGGTGTCCTGGGTGGCTCCTTCAAGGAAGGGGGCATAGGTGGAATGGGAGGTGGGGTAAAGCTGGCAGCTACGCTGGACACAGAGGCTGGGGCTTCCAGGGAAGGCAGTTTTGGGGAAACCAATGTCTCTAGTGCTTGGATAGTTTCTTCGGAAGATGAAGAAATAGCTGGGTCAGTTGAAATGGTGGCAGCAATTGGTTCAATGGGTGGCTTTTTTGAAGGTGTTGTTATAAATTTGATGACAGATGGTGTTGGTTCCTGAGACTTTTTCTCTGCCAGTTTCTCAGCAGGATTCTCCATCTTTATTGACTTGAAAAGCCTTTTATTGGAGGTGTTCAAAGAGTTGAGAGTAAATGAAGAATACAAGCCAGAGTGTATGTAGTCATTGCGGCTGGACGTCTTGGCACCAGGCTGAGGCTTCTCTTTCCCCCCATTCTCCACATCTTTCGAAGCACTGCTAATTTCACTGGAGTTCAGAGTTTCACCATCTCCCTCGATCTTGCCCACTGTCATTGGATCCATTTTCAAAATCTTTGGATAAGAGACAAACTTGTACACAAACTTCTGACCATTCACTTTTTTGATGATATTCTGTAGGTAAAGAAAATAAGCAATCATGTACTTTTTTGTAAACTTATATCCCACAGCTCATGAAAAAGCCTACATAAGGCTTTCTATTTGAGAAGTATAGCTTACTTAAAAACTTCAAAGTCACCTACATTTATCGAGCCAAATACAGCCCGTGTTATGGAAAGGTAAGGCAAGAACATGCAAAATTAGCAGCTAAACTAATATGTAACATAAAAACTGACAGTTTGGGGATAGTGATACAGCTCAGTGTTAGAGCACTTCTTGTACAGCATTCTTAATGCCCTACATTCCATCCCTAGGACTGTATTTAAAAAAAAAAAAAAAAAAAAAAAGCTGGGCTGGGGATATAGCTCACAGCCACAGTACCTGCCTGGCAAGTGTGTGGTCATAAGTTCAATTCCTAGTACCAAGAAAATTTTAGAAATTAAAAAATAAAAAAGCTGAAAATTTTAATTGCTAGACTCAGTCAACCAAGTATCTGTATTAAGTCAGAAGTCACTGAGCTGCGATCTTAAGTAATTCCAAAGGTACAAGCCATAAGCATCCCCAGTAAGCAAAAACGGATGTAGAATATTAACTGTAAGGTTCCTACTTTCCTCAGGACTTCTGGTGGATTTCTCCCTCTCTTCCTTCATCCTCTTTTTTTGTTCTTTTCTTTTGGCAGTAATGTAGATCGAATCGAGAGCCTGAGTACTGAGCTACAGTCTCAGCCCTTTTTTGATATTTTATTTTGAGACCAGCCCTAAGTTGCTAAGTAAAGCAGGCTGGGCTTAAAATCTCCTATCCTTCTGGCCTTGACTTCCTAGAATTCTAGGATCACAGCCATGTGCCACCACTCAGCTTGACTCTTTTTTTTAATGCTGTTATTCATTCATCTATTTATTTGCTTATCCAGCCATCCATCCATCTACTCATCCATCCAACCATTCATTTATTTTGAGACAGGGTCTCTGGCTTCATTGTCCAGTTAAGCTTCAAACTCCTGGGCAAAGAAAAGAGGGGTTTTTTCCCCTTCAGTTTCATACATGTGCACAATATAGAATGTTCACATGCTTTATGGGGAATTGTTATATGTACGTAAGACATCCCAATTCCTTTTATTCATCTACTCCCCCTTCCCTCCCTACACTTCTTGATCTCCTTCCTCTTTGGGAAGGGGAGATCTCTACTTTCTATTACCTATCTTTTATTTTGCTCCCCAGCTTGACTCTTGCCTCTTATAAAGCTGATAAGATCAATTACCTAAGGGCAAAAAAAAGACCTCAGCTTCCTACTCCCAATCTGGAGCACTATTTTTCTTGCCCAAGGATGTATCCAAAATAACACCATATTAATAGCTGGCTGTGGTGGCACAGGCCTGTACTCCCATCACTCAAGCTGAGGGAGAAGGACGGGTGTGAGTTCCAGGCTGGCCTGGGCTACACAGTGAGTTCCAGGCCAGCCCGCACTGTACAACATGAAGCCCTGTCTCAAAAACAAACACAAAAAGACAAATTAAAAAAATATGGTGGGGAGGGGAAGAGAGGAAGGGGATGACAGAAAGATGTGTAAACCACATCTCATACCAACTCCTCATGAGGAATATAATCATGATAGACTACAAACATGTTCCAATAAGTGGCCTTTTCTGTATACAATTCTTGTACTTTTTCTTGTAAAGACAACTGCAGTGAGAACTAAAATGTGTGATGAGAGTAGGTTACTGAAGAAAAAGAGCTGGAACATTTACATCTTATGTCCGAATTCCCAACTACTGAAGCTATACAATAAACTGGATTAAAATGAACCAAGACAGCAGAACCTATAGCTGCAACAGCAAAGAAGGAATACTGCTCATCCTGAGGCTCTCTGTGGAACACCGAGATCAGGATGGGTGTTACCTTCACATAATAGTATCTGAGGGCTCGGCTGAGTTTGTCATAATTCATGTTGGGCTTGTTCTTGCGAATCCCCCAAAGACGAGCCACCTCTTCTGCCTGCAGAAGCTTGAACTCTCCATTGTTAGAGGTCCAGCAGATCATGTGCTCATTCTGAGGCTCCTGCAGGAGCTGAAGGAGGAACTGCCACAGGGTGATGGCACTGTCCATAGCAATGGGCTGAAAAAATACAAGATCTGTGATTAACCCTGTGTGTCAGGCAATTTCATAAATGCTCTAAGTGTACCGATTCCTTTCTTATCCACAGCACTCCTATCCTATAAGAGATACTGCAACTTGCTTTATATATGAAAATACTGATTGGTAAATGGGAAGTAACTTGTCCAAGAAGATGGTGAAGCTGAGATTTAAATCCAGGAAACCTAGGTCTAGAGTCCAAATCATAAACCTGCCACAATGCTTGGGAGATCTCAGGCAATGAGGAACTTGCAAGGAAGATAAAGCTAATTCCATAAACTACAGGGGTAGTACCCTGAGAGTGTCAACCTCTAGTGTATCAGTGATTAAAATCTGCCTTGGGGCCGGAGACTTAGCTCAGTGGGTAAGCATCTGCGTGGCAAGCATAAGGTCATAAATTCGATTCCTAGTACCAGAAAAAAAAAGCCTTAAAATCTTATCATCATATCCTCCCCGAAGACCATCATTTTAGTATGCCTACCTAAATCAGCCTGATTTGTTTACTTGCTGATACATGTCTCAGGGTGGGGGTTGAGGCTGAGGTGTAGGGAATAATCAAAACTAAGTTTGTTCCAGTTGGTATTTCTCCTCCAAATAGTATACACTATTGTAAGTGTAAGTGCCACAAAGTGGCAGCTCTGAGGACAACAAAATGTTTCTCTGATTTAATTTACAGTTCTGTCCACAGGGATTCTACCTGTAATATATTCTCATTAGCAATCCTTATTTGACTATCAAGACATGAACTGAAAAATCCTTCAATATCTCATGTTTCCAGATCTCTCCTTTCAGGCTAGTTTCCAAATTTCAGCATCACTGATTTTGAGGACGGGTAATTCTTTGTTTTGGACATTGTCCTATGCACTGTAATTTGTTCAACAGCACATGTGGTCTCTATCCCTGGGTGCCAGCAGTACCCCCTGCCCAGATGAGACAACTGAGTGGCTCCAGTCACTGCCAGGTACCTGCGTTGATAACCTCTTGCTTGGCAATGGATCAGCAAGGAAATGCTCTCACAAGAGCACTTTCCTCACAGAACTCCAAAATATTTTGTCTACTAGAAAGAATTCTTTAAGGGCAGAAATTCTGGCCCAATATATGTAAGCTCATCCTAAGAAATATACACTAAACATCTTCATGCATAAAAACAAAACAAAAACCTTCCTTCTTCTAAGAATGAGATCACAATAGATCAGAATAGTTTGAGGGCCAGGCATAGTGGTGCATGCCTATAATTCCAGCACTTGGGAGGTTGAAGTAGAAAGATCACCGTTAGGTCAAGGCCAGCCTGGGCTACAAAGTGAGTTCAAGACCAACAGAACTACACAGCAGAACTTTGTCTCAACAACAAACAGAAAACAAAGTAGAACAGAGCTTCATTAAACCAAATTAAATCAATTCTATTAAAATACCATAGGACTGGGGTATAATGCTTGTCTAATATGCCCTAGGCCCTGGGTTGGATGGGGAAGGGGAGGCTACAATAACAGGTAACTTAGGCTGGGGATTTAGCTCAGTGGCACAAGCACCTGCCTGGCAAGCACATGGTCATGAGTTTGATCCCCGGTACCAAAAAAAAAAAAAAAAAAAAGAAAAGAAAAGAACAGGTAATTTGTGCTGTAAACAACACAGCAAGTGAAAAGACAGTCCCCAAAATGGGAGAAAATACTTTCTAATTATGCATCACAAGAGGAACATGTTTCTAAAATATACAAAGAACACTTACAACTGGAAAAAAACTTTTAACTAGGCAAAGGAATCGAAAAGATGTTATCTCCAAAAGATGCCAATAGCCAGTAAATACATGAAAAGAAAAAAATGTTTAACATCAAGTGTTGGCAAAGATGAAGAAATTAAAACCCTCACACACTGCTGGTAGAAACGTAAAATGGCATGACCAAATCAGTTTAACATATAAACCAGCAATTCCACTCCACGCTATATACCAGGAGAAGTGAAAACAAATGTCCATACAAAAACTTATACAAGAATGTTCACAGCAGAATTATTCATCGAATCTAACAAATGAAAATGACTCAAATCCCTACAAAGCAACATGGCATCACTCTTAAACAACAGGGTTATCAGTCATAAAAAGGAGTACTGATATAACACAGGCAACACAGGAGTTCATCCAAGAAGCCAGCCACGAAAGACGATGCAATGCATAACCCTATTTACACAAAATGTCTAGAACAGGCTAATCTACAGATAAAGTAGATCAGTGCTGCTTAGGGCTAAGGGGTAGGGATGGAGGAGAGCAGGGAGACGAATGTGGAATGACTGCTAGTGAGTACATGGTTTCTTTTAGGATAGCTGAAAATATTCCAAAGCTTCATTGAGTAGTGGTAGTTGTACAACTCTATATTAAAAACCACATAACTGTATATGCTACCTATGTGAATTTCACAGTGTTTGAATTACATCTCAATAAAAATGCTTAAAATAAAACTAACACAATAAATAATACAAACGTTAGGCCTAAGAAGACTAACAACATAATTCACAAAGGAGGGTCCTTACGGGCCAACTCTGTCCTTCCAAAAAGGGCAGAGGGAAGGAATTCTAGCAAAAATATTTTTGTCTTGTAACTTCTCTGAGGCTCAAGAAATGTCTTCCAATAATCTTCAGTTGAAGTAAATCACAGAAACGGTGTCTTCCAAAAGATGGGAAAATAATAAAGACTGGAAAGGGGAGATGCCTTCTACCGTCAAGAGTTCTTGAAGAAGCTGAGGCCATTAAGCTAAACTTTCTTCTTGAGTCCTAGACTCATGTATTTGCCAGGGACCCTCTTTCCTGAAAGGATGAAAGCACACCAGTTGATTTTAAATTACTATTTTAGATGCTAAATGGTAATACACAAATGAAGAGCTGCTTAATGCTAAATCACCATGTTTACTGGAAATCAATATACTATATTCTCACTTAATGGAGTTAAAATAGTGGGTTATCATATGATACCTTTAAATGTGAGAGGGAGTTTCCAGTTATTTTTCTGAGTTTCCCAGATGAGTTTCCCTGATGTCTGTTCATGGCAATGACTTTTTTTATTATGCAGTTTTCCCATTTAAGCAATTATTTGCTAAGCAAAGCTGGTTAAAACCTAGGGCCTGGTAAACACAGCCTTAGCTCTGGAGCTCAATTTCCACATTTCCAATAATGAAAAATGTTTGTGGGGTAGGAGCAGGTATGTATTGTTGAGGACTACAAATTCACAATGGCTAATTCTGCAGACTTCAAAAAGGGATAAATGGAGGCTTGGGATTGCTGCTATCATCCTTTAGAGATTTCCCATCCTCTCCATCCACTAAGACTAAGACCACTAAACCTAAAGACACTCCAAGACAAGATCGTTCTTGGCAGAAGTCAACCTGCACCCGAGTCATCTGATAATCTCCTCCTCAATTAATAAATCCCAAGTCTCTTGCTGCCTCATGGCCTTTTGTTTCTCATAAACTACTAGTCATCCCTGATGGCCACTATACTGCCATTTTGTCTCCTGCTTTTTCTCTCTCTTGCCCTTGCCGGAGACTGGAGCCCAGTATAGGGGTTCTCAATAATGTATGATTGTGAAGGATGGTGAAGGAGAGACAAAAACTTAAAGCACTTGGGGCTGTGGGGTTTAGCTTGGCAAACGAGAGGTTGTGAGTTCGATCCCCAGCACCAAAAAGTAAAAGACTTAAAACCACTATACTACTGCAAATATGGTGATTACAATTCTACTTGTTTTTGAAAAAAATTCTAAAACCCAAATCCTAGCATTTTGATACCTACCCTGCAGATTGTATTTGAATCTTACAGCTTTATTAACAGACAAGCTGTAGAAATGAAAAGACAAGGTGGAAAATACTAACATCTCCACAAGGATCACACATGTGCCATTCTGAGCGAATGAGAGGGACTCAAAATCATGGGCACCCCAGGGTGGTGCAGATTTAACTTCCATCCTACCCCAATGGTCACTGGTACAGCATCATGGATGAAGTCATGCACTGCTGACCTGCTGGACCCATGGCAACAGATCCTGACTGCTGTGGAAAGTGACGCCATCTCTGGTGCAGCAGCAGTGCACCTGGCAGAGAAGGGTGCTCAGAGGAAAAGGCAGAGGGCACTGCAGCAGTGACTGAGGTACTGGAAGTCAACTTGCTTTTGAGAAAAACTAACAGAGACATAAATCGTTAATTCTTCAGGGGATAGTTTTTTTAAAAACCAGCCCATTATTTGTGTGTGCGTGTGGTGCTGGCAATCAAACATCACATGCTTCACATGCTAAAGTGCATTCTACCTTATCCCCAATTTTTTATTTGTTTTGTTTTTTAATATGGGGCCAACTTGTGTAGTTCAGGGTAGCCTGGTCTCAAACTCCCATCAACCCTCCTGCCTTAGTCTCCTGAGTGCTGGGATTACAGGTGTGTATTACCAGACCCAGGCTTCCAATTCAATGTTTTTTTGGTTTTGTTTTTTTTTGTTTGTTTGTTTGTTTTTTGGAGACAGGGTCTCAAATTTAAATATGTAATTTAGGCTGGCCTTTAATTCACTATGCAGCCCAGGCTGGCCTCAAACTCACAGTGATCATCCTGCCTCAGCCTCCTCAAGTGCACCAACCACACCTGGCCCCAATTTTTACATCAGGTTTTCCCTCCATCAGGAGTATGCAGTTAACCTGAAACTCTTCAATTTACTAGTATTCATGAACTCAAGGATTATCTCAGCCACAAAAGAAAACTAGAGAGAAAAAATTCCAGAAGGCAATTATTAAAAACTGCAAATGTGAAAGTTAAAAATAAGATTTTTTATTCTTGTTACATGTAAGTAACATGTGTACTGTATCAGAAAATACTTTTCCCTCACACGAAACCCCAAGTTTACAATTAGTTTTACAAGTTTTTCAGAAATATAATGGAGAAAAATACTTAACTGACCTAAACAAAGGAATCTGACTTTTGAGACGTTAAATTCTGAAAACATAACTGATTCTATTTTAACACTTCAAAGAGTAATTCCTGAGCTAAACTGAAAGACAGATCTGGGAGAGTAGCTCTGTGGTAGAGCGCTGGCCTAGTCTTCTCGAAGCCCTATTCAATGGCCAAGCCCTCCAACCCTATTCCACACCCCAAAAGGAGGGAGCCATGTTGAAAAAACTTGTTAAGAGAAAGAAGACGCCATTAAATGAAACTCTTCCACGCTAAACATGTTTATAATACACATAGTCCAGTTGCTGTGGTGACCCACGGCCCAACTATTTTTCAGACAGTAACTAAGACCTAAAAAAGTCTCCAAATTCTTCAGCACACTGTTTAAATGAAACCAAGTTATAAAATGTATCAAGACTAGCTTATCAACACAACTAGCTTATCAACAGTCATCATTATCAAGAAATAAGTAGGTATACCGAGCTGCTGCATAATATTAAAGAAAATATTAAATGTGTACACTTCTTTTTCCTCTCTGTTTTTGGTGATGCTGGGGATTGAACCCAGGGCCCTGCACAAACACCCTAAGCTACATCCCCAACCCAAAAGTCTATTGCTAAATCCAACAAAACCTGAGACTTTTTCCCAAAGGACGTAAAGGACTTCACTTACCAAGTTTTAATGTTTAAATGAAATCAAAGAGGAGACAGTTCCCGAGGGGGTAAAAAATTGAATCACACATTTTAACGACGGAACTGCCAGCCTTAATTACTGAAGCACCAAGCTTTCCACGCAGAGTGGGGTGGAGGTGGGGGCCGGAGATCCGCTCCATCAACCAGATGAGCTTATCCGGTGAAGGATAAAGCTCCAGAACCGTTAAATGCCCTAAACGTCAAAGAACAATAGCTGGAGAAAACGCTAACCGTGTACCTTCGAACGACTTCTGTCAATAATACCCCTTATTTCCTGCCAATGCGTGCTAACATTCCGCCCCCGAATACTGTACGCTTCCAATTGGGCTTCCGAGGCAGGAATGAAGCCACGCTCGGCCTGGCCGCAGCTGTGTACCAAGCGGAAAGTAAAGGTGGGAGGGGGGCTGCTGGAGAGAAGTAGAAAAAGAAATGAAACTTGACACCGGATGAACAGCGAGCTTGGTGAGAGGAAGAAACACCGGTGACCTGCGCCCCAGAGGAGATCAAAGTCCGGGGGAAGAGGCACAACCTCACAGGCCTTTGTAAGCACTCAATGACTGTACTTTCATTTTCCAATTTCCTGTCACTACTGAGTCTGAACCGCTCCCCTCTGAACCACCCACGCAACATAAACCGCCACCACCGTTGCGCCAGGGACCTCGCGGGACTCCAGGGACACTGCGCGCGTATAGGCGTGCCCCCAGTCTCCAACTGCGCGCGGCCGGGGGCGGGTCCCCGGGGAGCGCGCTCAGCCCGCGCCACGGCCGCGCGTGCACTTCCTGTTGTGCCGCGAGCCCTCCGCCCTCGCCCCCGCCCCTAGGCCCAGGGGTGGCGACGCGGGACCCCGACGGCGCACGGGCGGCTGCTCACCCAGGCCACGCGCGGGGCTCCTTCTCGATCCTGGCCTCCAGCGCGATGCTCCTACCCGCCACCAACTCCTCCTCACGCTGGGAACTCGAGGGCGGCGCGACAACTACTGCGACCCCCGCGACGGACCCAGACAAGGCGGCGGCGGCCGAGCCAAGCCCGCCGGGTGTCCGCAGCCTCCCGCATCTCCCGCCGCCGCGCACAGCTCCTCGAACGCCCGCCTTCCGCCCCCGCACGCGGCACTGGCAGCGGCGCGCAAGTCGTCGGGCCGCTACCCGCCAGGCGCGTGCTCGGGGCGTGTTCGTCGCTGCGGTCGGGCCTGTCCGTCGCTCGGCGGCCGCCGCCACTCTCAAACCCTCCCGGCGGCCGAGAGGCCCCTCCCAGGCTCCGTAGCCGCCTCGCGTCACTTCCGGGACAGGGAGGGCGGGGTCGTGATTCCGAGGGGGCCGTGCGAGTCTCGACGGCCAGCAGTCCGGCTCTGGGGGGGCCTGTGGCCGGCCTGTGCGCGCAGCAACGGCGCCCCCTGGAGTTCCCCACTTGCTCTGTCCAGGCTCGGTGCTGTTGCTTTCAGGTCCAGGCGGTGGCCGTAGAAACCGGCTTCGGGGTCCCCAGGCTCCTCCAGACGACTTTTCTCGGACCCAGGAAAGAGCACGGTCGTCCGCATCTTGTCGGGACGGGAGAGGACGCTGCTTTTTTGCTGAGCTGACCAGGGAGGCGGTTCCCAACCGTCTCTATAGTTCGTGGACCGAGAAGGTGGTTCCAAGGGTTTTGCATCGACGTGCCTGATCCCAGGACAACCAAAACTTGATAACTGGTAGCTCCCTGGGCCGGCTGCTGACTGATGGAAGCTCTAGTAGTGTAGGAGCAGCTGGTTCTGGCCATGGAGGTGGAGACCCGGAATCCAGTCATAGCTGTGTCACTCACTAGCTGGAGGACTTAAGCGACTTTCTTAGCCTGTCTGAAACACAAGTTCTTCAACTGTAAGATGGAGGGAGAGAAGCCAGTCTCCTGGAGTTGTAATGATTAAAAGCGATAAAATGCATAAAGTTTCTAGCTCACAGGTTCTCATTAGCATAATTCTACTAGAACAACTTAGCAGTAGAAGGAATATCGAATCATTAATCTGGAACTGCTAAACCTTAAGAAATAGGTTGTATATTGTTTCACAGGAAGCGAAATGGGTCAGTGTCTGAATTACTGGTTGTCCCTGGCCATTTTCTGTGTGTGTGACCTTCAGTTAATTGAATGTGACTAACCTCTCTAAACTTATATAAGATATATTTTTATAAGCATATAAAATGACAATGATAATGAGGTATATAATTCAGTGGCACAGCACTTGCCTAATATGCTCAAGGACTGGGGTTCCAACCTTAGCACTATACATACATATACACACGTTTTAAAAGGAATATCCTGTATCTGAAAAGTACTAGTAGTCCACACACACACACACACACACACACACAATACAAATTTTTCCCTGCAATGACTTCCATCTTAGGAACCAAGAGGAAAAAATAAGATACACATTTTTAAAATATCCTTTGGGAGGCTGGGGATTTAACTCAGCAGCATAAGTGCCTGTCTTGTAAGCAGGCAGTCGTGAGTTCGATCCCTGGTACCGATAAAAAGGAAAAAAAAAGTACCCTTTGGAAACATTTGTTTATAGAAAAATACAGAATTCTCCCAAGAACAGTTAAGGATTACGAGGTCTACAAACTTCCCTCCTGTGCCCAAACTAGCAGTAAACATCTGATTCAGCCTCAGGAGCAGGAGTTGTGTCATTGCTTTTACACTGAGCCTACAGTATTGTCAATTACAGTGTATTTTTGGAAAAGAGCCTGCTTTGGGAGTTCTTAAATTAGTCATAGCAAGTCTGTCTGCTTTTAAATTGACTCCTATTTTTCCCCCCTAATGCAATACATGTTGACAGCAGAGAAACCAGAAGAGTGGATTTCAAATTAGAGAACTGGAGGTGGGGGAGTTGATTAAGGTAGCTGTTTTTCCCACTCAGGAGTCTATAAATACTGAATCTCTCCATGGTTCCTCACACAACAGATGGTTCTGTTTTTGCAAACCGCATGATGATGATGTTGGTCAACCAGAAAGACTGCTTTTTTGTTATCTTGTTTGGTCATTTTCCTACCAGAGAGAAGGATGGATGCCTTACCTACTCAGGGCTATACCAGATAAAATTTGTAGACTTTATTAAAACGTTAAATATAAGATTTTCTGTCTGACTTTCCCTAGATGGTTTCTTAACCATTGCAGTTATCCAAGTCCTGCAACATCTATTCCCTAGTTTGGTTACATTTCCTATCTCAACAACACTTAATTATGATCATTTCTTTTCAAGTCACTGATTTTCCCTCTTTTCGACTTCACTGATCAACATTATCCCCAACTAGTATCCTTTTTTGACTGAGCAAGCACGGAGCCATCTCATTGCCTGGTAAGCCTTTCAGGTGATGCGTTTGCAGCATATGACACACAGATATCTTTTAAATCAAAAGGAACACCAGCAACCGCTGGTGGGGACAAGTGGGGAGCACACTGTAGTATGACTGAGACAGCAGAACAAAGGCTGAGGGTTCTAGTGTAGCGGTAGTAAAGCCTGAGTCTCTGTTTCTCTAAATAGAGGAATAAAGTTGAGGTCAAAGGAGGTAAACAGGAGAAAAGTTTATCAGGAAAAGACAAATGGCTCCTGAAAGTCAGTTGTTTGTTTAGGAATTTTTATACCAGAACATGACCAGGCTCAAACTGCCGCAAGTCAAACTAAGGTCAAGCCATAGGACCAAAACAAGCTCACTTAATTAGAATTGGGCTATGAGGAGTGGAGGCACATAACAAGTATATGTCTGCAGGTACCTCTTGGCCTCTCTCCTAAGTGGTTTAAAAGAACAAAATGGAAAGCAGAAAGGATTTTCCAGATAGGTATGTATCTTGGTTATTTTTTCCCTCATGGCTGGGACAAGATACCTGACACCCAAATTAGAGAAAGATTTATTGAGCTCACGGTTTGGGAGGCTTCAGTCTGTAATCAGCTTTCTCCAAGATAGGGTCACCTGGCACAGGGGCAACAGCTGAAGGCAGCAGAGGACAGAAAAACCAGCTAGCAAAAGGGGGAAGAGAAAGCCTCTTCCCCTCCCTCACATTGTGTGCAGGCCGCCCACCCCAAGGGAGTGTAGCTCTTACACCATCTCCCTGCCCTCCTATTCCACAGGCTCAGGATGTTTACAAAGTGAGGACCCTAGCCCCCTGCTAAGTCACTTAGTTAAGCTTTTAGACTTCTCAAGTTGACACAGTGTGTCAACCATAACAAGTAGTAAAAGTTGTAGAGTGGACATCCATCACCAATTGCAACCTTATCTTGTTTGTGATACCCTAGGACTTAATTGTCCATCTGCCATGTGTTAACTGTTGACCTCAGGCTCCTGCTTATCTGACCCAGGCCTGGTCCTCTTGACTGTCTTGGACCCAGTCCCTCCCTAGCTACTCTATCTTCTAGCTTTCCTGTCTGTAACTCAGACCTCTAGATCTCCCTACACTCAAAAATTTGATTCTCCTGAGAAAATCTTTATGATATCTGTTCCTATTTTCAACATTGTTAAAAATAAACAAGACTCATATTTGTAACCTACCTCTAATGGATAGAAAAAATGATTATGTTTTGAACTGAGGTGTGATAGTATATACCTGTAATCCCAGCACTGGGAGGCTGAGGCAGTAGGATCACAAATTTAAGCCTACTTTAGGCACTTTATCAAGATCCTGTCTCAAAATAACAAGAAAAGGTGCTGGAAATGTAGCTCAGTACAAAGAACCTGACCACTTGATAAGTAATTCTATATTATATTCCTGTGGACTGAAATCTTGGGTAGAGGAAAGTTATGCTTGAAATAACATGCTGGGAAGCTGTGTGTTAAATCTGTCAGCATTTGCAAACTTCACTACCAGTCAAGGCACTAAGAGTTTCCAAATACAACCAATAACATGGTGGCTAGAAATACCTTTTGCCAAGATACTTAAAAGACATTTCATCCTCAATAATAAAACTTAGAGAATGTTCAGGATCCAGAGAAAATCTCATTAAAAAGGCTCTCAACTAAGGTACTTGTTGCCTCCAGACTATGAGGTAAGTTTGTGGCAACATCTTTCCACCCAACCTGTGATCTCACAAAACATCATTTTCCCAGAGCGGACCTGACAAGACGTGTTCCTGCGGTTACGACCTGGGGCGTAGTAACTACCTAAACATTTAACTGTCACAGAGTGCAGAAAATCACATTGTGTAGTTTTCTCTTTTTTTAAAGAAGACAATTTGTTTGAAGATGGAAAAGGAGGAAAAGAGAGATGACAAAACGCTACTCTGGATGAGTAGGGAGAATCTGGAAGTGAATTGCTTCTACATTTTATAGTTTGAATCTCTGGTCTCCACATTGTTTTCCTCCCTTTCTTCCTTCTTTCCTTTCTTCCTTTTACATTGAAGATTAAACCCAGGGCCTTTGCACTGAGCTACATCCCAACCCTTTTTTATTTGAGACAAGGTCTCTCTAAGTTGCTAAATTGCTTAGGCTCAGCTCAAATTTGTAATCTTCCTGCCTTAGCCTCCCAAAGTGCTGGAATTACTTCACCCCACTACATTCAATTTACTTCTTCTTCCGTGTGTGTGTGTGTGTGTGTGTGTGTGTGTGAGATCTTGAGACAAAATCTTGCTATGCAGTTCAAGTTGGCCTTCAACTTACTTTGTAGCCCAGGCTGGCCTCAAACTCACAGTGATCCCCCTGCCTCAGCCTCCCAAGTGCTAGGATTACAGGGATGTGCCACCATGTCTGGCTTCCATTAATATTTTTAATCCAGTTCTCTAGACCTTTAAAAAGTAGTATGTACTAGAGGAAGAGAATGTATCACTCTACTTCAGATGAGATCAGGTGTATTCAAGGTGGTATGGACATAGACATCACTATTTCTAAAGGCCTTTTGGAAAAGATGGTCTCTAATCGGTAAAAATTTGTGAGATCAATGTGCCAGTGTTGAAGGTTTTGGGTGGTTGAACCAACTTCTTGCAAGATACATATTGCTCTGAATTTTAAGCCAAACAATTTTATTTTTGCCTCTTGTATGTCTAATAATCACTAGATGGAAATTTTTTCTTCAATTAAAAATTCAGGAGCCACCAAAATATGATACTATCCTACACTTGATCTTAGAAAAAAGACTGAGCAGTTATAGGATATGATACTATATTGTTACTGTCACTGGATTGGGTCTGAAGGAGGTTCCCCTGAGAAGAAATGGGGACCCCAGTTCAGCCCATTCAAGGATAGGTTATAGGTTCATTGACTTCCATTGAGAAAAAGAATTTAAGACACATTAGTAAAAGGCATAAGGAAATTTATTAGACACACTACCAATAGAGTTAGGGTCCTCAAGAAAGAAATAGATTATGGTCTGAGGCTTGGGGTGTTACGTGGTCTTGGGGATGTTTTCTAGATGAGTGACCTAGGATGTGTGCTTCCTGTCTGCCGGGTTTCCCATCCAGTGGGCTACGTTAGAATGCAAAACATGACAAGCGGCCATGGTGGCACACACGTGTAATCCCAGCGCTCAGGAGGCTGAGCCCGCAGATCACTGTGTGTGCAAGGCCAGCCTGGGCTGCATAATGAAACCTTCCCCCCACAAAAAAAGAATCAAAACATGTACATTAAGTTCCCTATTTATAAAGATTTGAGTAATGAACTTTCACAGATATGAACAGACCTCAAATTACAAACATTCCCAGATGTGAACAAATCATAGAAGTAGCTCGCCTGTCTACCTTACCATTTCTACGTAACTGTAAAAGTAAAACTAGTTAATTTACAGTATTTTTGTGTGTCGGCTTGGTTTTCTTATGCTTTATACTGTATAGTATCAGAGGTATATAAGACTCACTTCGTCAGACGTATGAACGAATCTGACTTACGAATGATTCCGTGGAATAGAATTTACTCGTAAGTCGGGGACATACTGACGACAGTAAAACTTTGACTTGCTTGTAACTTGTTCTGTGACTATTCTACAAGCTAAGTAAACATTTCCAATGATTTTTTTTTTTAATCAGTACTGGAGGTTGAACTCATGACCGCCTGCTTGCTAGGCAGGTGCTTATGCCTCTGAGCTAAATCCCCAGCCCCTTTTCCAATGAATTTTAACTTAATAAACAAGCAATGTCTTGCAATACAAGTAGTACATGACACCACACTTCACATGATCACAACTAAACTGAGCCAATGTTCAGTGGTTTCCTGTCTGTCTCTCTCTGTCTCTCTGTCTCTCTCTCTGTCTCTCTGTCTCTCTGTCTCTCTCTTTCTCTGTTTCTCTCATCCCCCAAGGACAAGAAGTCATGGAGGCAATCTCATATGCAGACAAAGAGTGCAAATGTTTACATTGTGGCATTGTGGGAAACGGTGCAAAATTTTGTAGAAAATCACCACCTGAATAAGTCTATAGCAGTGCAAGTGATGAATCTGTTTAACAACAATGCAATGTCACATTTCTATGAAATCCTCAAAAGCAGGCAAAAGCAAGTGTCATTGGAATTGGCTAGGTTTCTTGGTAAAGCTCCGCAAAAAGAAAACATTTCCACTGAGCCAACAAATATTAGTGATTCCATCCCTCTCATCTCCCTCACCCCAGCCATGATACAAAAGCGAACAGAAACACTGAAACAACACCCAGGATTTGCAGGCAGATTTATTTAACCTTGGATGGGCACTGACTAAGAATCAGTTGTTCCTCAAAATGTCAGGCCTCAAAAGCCCAGGGAAGGAGGTTTGTGTGAAATTGCAGAGAGGTGGGGGGCACAGAAGTAGAGGACTTGGCAGTCTCTGATTTGTTCTTACAATAAACGTCACAGTGACCAGCTATTTCTGACAGCAGCAACCGAACTGCAACAGGAACTATTCCTTGACAACTGAAGTGTATTGGCTGAGGGGCATTTTCTGCTACAGTGAAGGTTTTCAAAGGTAATGCAGGTTAGTTTAGAAATCTCTTTATATTTTGTGATTTCTTTGTTATTTTGTATTACATTACAACAGTGTAATAATTTTTCTGTGAATTTTTTTTGGGTGGTGGAACAAATCACCTGAGTTTCCATCATTCCTCATGAGGAAATTCACTTTGATATCAAATACTTTGAATTACAAGCATGTTCCCAGAGCAAATTATGCTTGCTAACCAAGGTTTTATTGTGCTGTTTGAAACTGAGACATGCCGCGTGCTTTCTATGGAAGGAGGTGCAGTTTACAGATGGAAAGCCCAGGTCCCAAACCCAACTCACAAGCTTTCTGTATCTTTAAGACCCTTTGGAATTTCTTGAAACAAGTTTCCAGAAAGAGAAAAAGGCCTGAGTAATTTTTATTTCATGAGGCTGCAATTTTTCTTAGAAGTAAAAACTTAAAATTATGATTTTTTCTTGTCTCTTTTCTATACATTTTTTAAATACCCTTCCTTACTAACATAGAACAAACTCAGAGAAATTTGTTCTTTTTTCTAGGAATTGTCAGACTTCAAGCAGCAGCACCAATACCCTCAGGAGCTATCACATCGAGATCCACAGCTACCATTTTTCAGAGTTCTTTTACCTTCTCTCTTGACCCGGTTGTCAAAGAACTCACCTAAGGATCCAAAGAAGAGATGAAAGGCAAAGTCAGGCCAGTCAGTGAGGATGAGGTCAGGGCAGTTCTAAACAGGATTTATTGTATACTCAGAGAGGGAAATCCAGGGATTGAGAGAGGGTAAAATTATCATCTCCCACTGCACTGAGAAACCTTTCCTGAAAGAGGTGGAGCTTTGAAGACTTGGTCTTAATTCAAAAATGTAGAACACCGCCTTTTTCTTCTATACTTTCTTTATCCAGCAGCAAAACAAAATACGCTCTAGCATGCCGGCACACTTAGCTCGCGAGCTGTCTGCCCAATTCAGGATGGTAACACCCCACCCACTTCCTCCTTCTGACTCTCAAGGGAAGAAAATTTGAACCTTGTTTAGGCTGAATCTGTAAAATGAGAAAAAAATATTTTTCGTCTTTCTTTCTTGCAGCTTCTCTCTGCTTCTTGGAAAATGCAGTTGTAAATGCACACAACTGATTGACCGTGTATGAGCCAGAATCCAAGTGTTACCCCAAAGCAAAGGAAAAATTGGGGCACCCTCTCCTGAGGGAAAGTGTCCAAAGACAAGGTCTCCTGGAGCAGAGGATCCAGTTACATTTTGTTTGGATTTAGATCCTTCCCCAGCTGTGGACACTTTATTTTTGTTTCTTTGCTTCCTCCTACCCCATTCCCAGCCCTCTGGCTGGTTTTCCTTCCAATGGTTACTTTTAAACCTTGTTTTCCTTCCAATGCTTACTTTCCCCTTCTCTATTTATCTCTGTGCCTTAACCCTGCCAATGACCTCCTAAGAATTTAGTTAGGCATAGGAGTGTTCCTTGGACCTGAGATTTTGTATTTTTAGCTGGGCAAAAAGATATTGCATGCCTGTAATCCCAGCTACTTGGGAGACTGAGGCAGGAGGATCAAAAGTTTGAGGCCAGACTGGGCCATCTCAAAATAAAATAATAAAATAACAAAATAAGAAGACCTGGGACTATAGCTCAGTGCAAAGATTGATTATAGCTCAACATAAGCCCCTGGATTCTATACCCAGTACCAAAAATTTGTTAAAACAAAACAAAACAAAACAAAACAAAACAACATAAACCATGTGCTGAGCACAGTGCGGTGTATTTTAGGAGCTACACTGAGGACTCAGACCAGTCTGTTTAGAAGTTTCAGTAGACAGAGGATAAAACCACTTGCGACATAGGAAGGAATGCTAGGTAGAGTTTAAAACCGCATGCACTGGGGGTTGAAGGAGTGGCGTGACTTTCGGGTTCACAGGAGAGAGCGTCCTGGTACGCAGGGCATCTGGGACTTCGAGGAGGCTGGGAGGACACGCCAAGGGCAAGTTCTCAGGCCGAAGTCCACCTCCCCAGTGTCTCTGCCTGGCTGCCTCCTGCATTCTGTCTCAGCTTCGGAGTCCTCCAGCCCCTGCCTAGACTGTGACTGGGATCTCTGCCAGGTACCATCGTGTCCAGTGCTGACCGTGGCCCTCTCTACACTGGCTTCACGTTCGTATTTGTCTCTTCACACCTGTGGCCCAGACCCAGAGACCACAGCATGTGTCTTGCTGAGCTCTGTGGCAGGTGCCAGCCTGCCTGCCCCTGGGGTGTCTGGGAAGCAACCATCCAGTGAAAGGTCAGGCCAGGGGAGCGTGGCAGCACAAAGCTGCCTGGGACAGTGGCCCCAGCCTGAGCTAGTGCTCTTCTGCCTCCCACCAAGCCTTCCTCCCTCACTTTGCCAAGTCGTAGTCTCTCATCTCCCACCCTCCTGGGGGAAACCACGTTCCAGCTGCACCCCTCCTAGGAAACTCCTCTTAAATCACCAACCTAGCTTTCCTCTTTCCTTCCTTTCAGTATCCAGTCTCAAACAATCATGGTTTAAAATGGAGTGTGTTTGTGCAGGTTTGCAGTCAAGCCTCCTTGGGAGGCTGAGGCAGGAAGACCACGTGATGCCAGGATTTCAAGGCCAACCTAGGCAACATAACAAAACCTTAACTCTACAGTAAAACAAAACAGGCTGGGTGGGGTGGTGCACACCTGTAATCCCAAAACTCGGGGGACTGAGGCAGGAGGATCACTGCAAGTTTGAGGCCAACCTGGGCTACAAAGTGAGTTCAAGTTCAGCATGAATAGCATAGTATCTCAAAAAGACAAATAATAATAATGATAATAAATAAAATAGAATAAAATATTTAGATCTACTGCCCACACAGTCTTACCTCGAATTCACTCTGTCTACTGTCCCCTTTGTCAACTCTTATCAAAGCCTCTGCCCATCCGTGTTGGCCGAGTTTTGTTTCGTTTGCCGTCTGCGTCCCCGCATTAGTTAAAGCTTGCTGACCTCTCTGATATCCTTCCCTATCGCTCTCCTAAAGTCACTGTCCTTTCTACTTCTCTCCAGGTGCCTCATGTCTCTCTTTGGGGGCTTCTCTTCCACCAGCTCAGAAGGATGAGTGCCACCCTGGCGTCCAGCTCTCTGCTTTGGGCTTCTGTCTCTCACGCACTGCATGGCAGGGGACCCAACCTCCCAGCCTGCACCCCACCCACAAGTTAAAGGACCTCACCTTCTTCTGTGGAATCTGGAGTCAAGTTCCCAATGTCCCCTCAGGGTCCTCCCACGTGTCCCCATCACACCTCCCTGTCAGAACCTGCCAGGTGCACCCACCCAAACCAGCCACAGGCGGAAACACCGCCTGGGTGCCCAGTATCCGCCCACGTCCCCCTGGGAACATCAGTCGCTGTGGTTCCGTCTGCTCCTCGCACCTGTCCTCTCCTCCTGTGTGGCGTGCGCCTCCCTGTCTCTTGCTAGGGCTATTGCAGTTAGCTCCTAACAGACCTCGGGTAGGCAGGGATTCTGGTGCTTCCTCATTTCCACAAGGAAATCTTTCTCCCTTTCCCTCTCTGCCCTCCCACTTCTTCCTCCTGCTTTTTTTTTTCTCTTCTCCCCCCTCCTTCTGCTTCTCCTCCATCCTCCTCCTTCTCTTCCTCCTCCTCCTCATTATCATCCATGTTCCTGTAACCTCCCCAGCCCCATTCTGATCCCTGGAGACTGAGGAACAGCTCCTCTCGGCTGAATTCACTGTCCAGTCTAATGGAGTCACTGCCAAAGGAACCCATTTCCGTTTCCTCATCCATCCTCCCAAGACAGATTCCAAGGGCTTCACCATCCTGCCCATTGTCCTTGCTCTAAATAGGAAAAACAGTGCCGGTGATGCCCAGATTGGACAGAACACGGCTCTTTCTTGCAAGTTATTGACCCCAAATGAAAACTCAATTATGTTTTTTTTTTTTTAATCATAGGCTTTATACAAACAAGAAACAAGGAAGGAACACATAAGTTTGGAGATGGGCTGCTGGTCGCTTTGCTGCTCCAACCACCCCACTCTCCACACAGCACAGCGCTGGACCCAGGAAGGAGCAGCACACAGAAAACTGTGGGTTGTGGTTGTGGTTGTTGTTGCTGGTGTTGTTTTCTCTTCCTGCAGAGCTAGGGATTGAACACAGGGCCCAGCAAATGCTAGGCAAGGACTCTGCCACCACACTGTAGCCCCAGTAGAATGCAGTTTTTAAAGTGACACATTTTATTGTGTCCACCTGTAGTCCCAGCTATTCAGAAAGCTGAGACAGGAGAATTGCTTGAGTCCAAAAGTTTGAGAATTTCCTGGACAACATATGGTGACCCCATCTTTTTAAATTAAACTGCTTTTTAAGAAAAATTCCATCTAATATTGTATGTTTTCATGCAAAGTCATGTCAGCACATTGTTTTCCCAAGGACATTTGCATTTGAAGTCTTCTAATTATGTTCTCCAATGAAGGTAATTCCAAGCTTGTGCTAGAAGAGAGGTTGGTGGAACGTGCAGTACAAAGAGCCTTGTTTCTTGGATCTTTTTTCTCTCATCTATAAACTGAGAGGATTGGCTTGATCCCCAGCTCTGGTATCTACAGGTTGCTGATTTGCTTGGTGTTAGTAGATCCAGGGCCCTCCACAAACTGCCCCCAAATGGAGCCTCTTGTCAGGACTCACAGGAGAAGCTGAAGACATACTGTGTGTGTGAGGAGATGTGGATCACACATTATGGAGGCTGACAAATACCAAGATCCACAGAGTGAGACTGCAAGCTGGAGCCTCAGGGGAGCCTCCAGGGTACTTCCAGTGCAGGCCAGCAACTCAAGACCCAGGGAAAAGCCAACATCCCTGCCCAGAGGCAACCAGGCCTTCTGCTGAGGAGCGAGGCCCATCCGCACTAGAGGGCAGTCTGCCGTGTGGGCTATCAGTTTAGATGTTTATCTCATCCAGAATCAACCTCACTAAGATACCTGGGGTAGGGTTCCACCTGGTATCTGAACAGCTCATGCTCAGCCAGAATTTACCATCTCGTCCCCAGAGCAGGGTGATCGTGGTTGGCAGATCTGATAGAGCTGTCATCTGAGCCCACACTTTGAACTGCTGGACAGAAAATTGCTTCTGTTTCCCCCAGCATCCGGCCCACTTCATCTGATTTCTTTTCTTAGCCCTTCACAACTTCAGTTTTTTTTTTTTAACTAGAAATTTTTTTTTTTTGTCTTTTTCCTTTTTATCGGTACCGGGGATCGAACTCACGACTGTCTGCTTTCAAGGCAGGCGCTTATGCCGCTGAGCTAAATCCCCAGTCCTTAACTAGAATTTAAAGGCATTTTAATAAAATATTACTGTGCAGATCAGAGGCTCATTAATTAAATAATTCTGAATATACTGAAACAAAAACCACAAACTCATTCAAAATAATGTGAAACCACTTACTACTCACTCAGGGCAGTGGTTCCGCCATCCACAGTTTCGCTTTCTGTGTTCCTCTCAGTCAACCGCAATTCAAAAATACTAATGGAAAACTCCAGAATTAAAAATTTCATGTTTTTAATTGCTGCCCTTAGCAGTGTGATGAGATCTTGTACCATCCTGTCCATTTTGCCTGAGATACAAATCAGTCTGGTGTTCACAGTCTCCACAGTGTATATGCTACCTCCTCCTGTCTCATTGTAATTTTTATTACAGTATATTGTTATAATTGTTGTATACTACTAATAGTTATTGTTGTTCATCTCTTACTCTGCCTCATTTATCTATTTATTGCCATTTTATTTTTGAACACAGGAACTTTGCACTAGACTATATCTCCAAACATTATTAAATTTGCTTTAAAATTTTGAGACAGAGTGTCACTAATTCACTGAATTGCCAGGCTTCAACATTGCAATTCTCCGGCCTCAGTCTCTTAGAGTTCTGGGATTACTGGCATGTGCCACCACATCTTGCTTCTGAACAATTTAAAAACTAAACTTCTTGTTAAGTATATATGCATAGGAAACAAACATATTAGCTACATAGAGTTCAGCATTGTCTGTAGTTTCAGGCATTTGTTGGGCATCTTCGAATACATCCTTGATAGGTAAAAGGTGAGTATTATATTTCAAAACTGAGTCTAAAGGTTAAAAAAAAAGCCCTGCAGTAAACTGTGTTGTGAAAAGGCAAATGTACTCTGTCTTCACCCCTGCCTCAGATATTAGAAGCCAGAATGTTAAACTGAGGTTGTCCACTTGCTCAACATTTTACCTGCTATTCATTTTATTTCTCAGTAATAAACTTAGCCAAGTAAGCCAATTATGTGTGGAAATAGAGGTAGACTTAGGGTGGCACAATAACAAGAGCTGAGTGCGATGGTGCACACCTATAATGCCAGTACTTGGGAAGCTGAGGCAGGAGGATCGCCATGAGTTCAAGGCCAGCCTAGGCTACATAGTGAGACCCTGTCTCAAAAAAAAAAAAAAGAATAAGATGCAGCTTTTGCCTGGGAGGATCTTGGCAGGGTACAAACTACAAACCTCTGCTTGGGCTTTGGGTCTCATTTTAGCATTACTCCTAGAAAGCCTTCTCTGGGACCCCCTGTGCTCTAATCTGGTTCTGAGCCCGTCAGTCCCGTCACATATGCTGTAATGGCATCTGTGTATCTCTGAACCCTGGGATGGAGACATCCAAGGTGAGGTGCCTGCGCCTTCACTCTGCCACAGCCCTGGAAAGCGATCAGTCTACCATTCTTGAAGTCGGCCTCCTATACGCAAAGCACAATAGGCGCCTGAGGAGGGAATGGCCAGTGCCCAGGAGCCAGAGAAGGTGCTGTCTGAGCTGAGAGCAGGGGAAGAGCTGCCACCCAGTGGGCCAAGAAGAGGCAGCTTTCCACAAAAAGCAGCAGCGAGCAAACTTTGCTTGGGTGTTGGGAAGCAACTCGTGGTGGCTGGAGCAGGGTTTCAGGGTCCAGGCAACCAGGGAGGGGTGGAAATGGATGGAGCTATGTGCAGAAAGGAGGCCCAGAGCTTGGGCAAGATGACTTAGGCCACAGGACCGCATGGCTCCAGCAGTGGCAACCGCAGGAGGACAGCAGGAAACAGGTACTGGCAGCCAGGATGGTGGTAGAAAGGTCAGCGATTAGACAATCGCGTGAGGGGATTTCCAGGACACGAACCAACAACTTGGTGGGTTTCTTTAGGAGGAAAGGGTAGAGACTGAGAAAATGCGTGTGCCATTGACTGAGGTGCTCACATTTTTCACGAGCTAAGTGAAAAGAAAGGGAACTCATTTCATAAAGGAAATTGGGGGTGGGGCTTTTGGGTCTCAACCTCTCTGGGACAGGCATCCTGTTGGTGACTGTCCTTCAGTGTCACAGCCTGAGGGTTGGCCATCTGGGAAGAAGGAGAGTGCACCAAGCTGGGACTGTAAATCCCTAACCTATCCTACAGAACTGGATCTGTGAGCTGACCCGGAAAGGACTTGCTGTGCACACAGCAAGAAAGCCAGCCCTGCAAGGTCAAATCCAAGACAAGGTTAGGCTGAGGTCAGGCCACACTGTCACTAGTGCTATCGAGTTGCCGCCACAAGTGAGGGGAGATCCAGTGACAGCGCTGGAGGTCAGAAAGTCCCAGCTCTCAGCAGCCTGTAACTTAGGGGCTGTAACCAAATCTGACCTTGGAAACCAAAGCTTTTTTACTCAGCTGCAAAAGAAGTCATGGAGATTGGATTGGCTCATCTCATCATAAATGGTTCTGCAAGGGCCAGAAAAGAAGATCAAGGATGTATTAGGACACCAGCTACAGGGCCCCAGCCAGCCCTTTTTTCTACAGCCTCAAACCACAAGCCAGGATCAGGGTTCCAATCCCACCTTGACAGACAGCATGAGAGGAGGAGGAAAGTTCCACTTGAGTCTGGTTTGTTTTTTGATTTGCCCTTCTCATGTAGTTCAGATTGGCGTCAAAGTCATCATGTAGGTCAGGGTGGCCTCAAAACTCATGGTGATCTTCCTGCCTCAGCCTTTCGAGTGAAGGGATCACAGGTGTGCGCCACCACACCTGGCCCTCTTTTAAACTGTTAGTATCTGCAGTTCATGTTTTGCACTTTCCACTGATAACCTACATGACACATCTGTGCACATTAGACTCACACACGTGTTCTCCAGTCAATCCAAATGACAGTCCTTGAGAGCAAAAGCCCACCTGCAAGAGCTTGCTGTGCCTCCGAGCTGCCTCCAGGACACAAGCTCCTGCCTGGAGGGCCGGGTTCGCTGCCTATTAAAAACATGTGCCAGAAATGTGCCCCCAGCTTCCCTGAGGACTCCCAGCATCCTTTGCGCATCCTGTTAAAGCTCAGGCCCAAAATGGTTTGGACAAGGGGGGAGAAACAAGGCCAGGGATCAGGCTGTGTGTTCAGGAGCTCAGACAGACTGGGGTTAGTCTCACCACTTGTTCTTTTTACTTCTCCCGTCACCAGCATGTGCACGCACGCACACTGAGATCTCTGGGCTGGCGGTCACTCTGAACAAATGTGGGAGAAAACACACAGATATAAACAAGATCTGTGGTCCTGAGCACGCCCAGAAGTATCTGTGTAAACTCACAGTGCACATTTTAAAATTGTGTCTTACTTTGTCTCTTGAAAAGGCCCCGACTCAGTCACATCAACCCCAGTGCCTGAAAAGGTAGTTAGGGCCTCCATTTCCAAGAAAAGCAATCAAAGAGTCTTAGAAGAATTAGCTCATTTCTGGTTTACAAGGTGAGTCTGGACATCCAATCATGACAGGAAGCAAAGACACTGACAAAAACCATTGATGAGTGTGTTCGAAAGATTCTGAAATCAACTTGAAGAATCTCCTATTGGCCAGAGATGGGATAATTTTAACTTTTTTTTTCTGAGACAAGGTCACTCTATGTAGCCCAGGGGGGCCTCAAACTCACAATGATCCTCCTGCCTCAGCCTCCTAATTGCCAGAATTACAGGTGTATGCCACCACACCAGACAGATTATGAGTTTGAATAAAGATAACAACTGCAAAGGACTGACACACAACAAATATATTTAAATCCATGAGTACCTCATGATTCCACATGGAAAAAAATCAATCATTAGGGGATCCAGGGAATTGATTTTTTTTTTTTTTAACTGCTGAGGGAAAATGTCAAGTACTTCTTGAAGAAATGATAGAATATTATCACTTTACCATACTAGGAAATACAGATTGCTCATCCCTAACCCAAAAATCTGAAAGCTCTGCAGCACCAACACAATGCCACAAGTAAAAAATCCCAGTATCATGAATCTCACCATTTATGATATTGCACATGAAACAATATTATTTACAATGCTGCATAAAGTTAATTGCAGGCTATATGCATAAGGTATATACAAAACAGGAATAAATTTTATGTTTCAACTTGGGCCCCATCCTCTAAATACCTCAATATACAGAAGCAAATATTCCAAAATCTGAAATCAGAAACATCTGTGGTGACCTGCATTTTGGATAAGAACTCAGCAATCTGTAGTGAATATATGTAAAGATATGAACAATTACTGACATCAAAGAAGAAAGATAGGGCTGGGATGCCATTTGGTGCTGGAGTTTGTGTTTAATATGAACAGGGCCGAATTCAACCCCAGCACCAAAAAAAAAAAGCAAAACATCACCCCAACAGTGAAACAGACATTAGAACCAGATACAGAGATGGGCACCTGCAGTCCCAGGTACACAGGAGGCAGGGGATGGCTTCAGTCCAGAAGTTGGAGACCAAGGCCAACTCCAGCCTGAGCAATCCAGTGAAACCCCATCTCAGAAAAAAAAAAAAAAAAAAAAAAAAAAAAAAAGCAAGCAAAGCATATACTGTCACTGAAAACAAACACCAGACAGTGTGCGCCTCCTTTGTTACAGAAGTACAAGACCTAGTATTTTTGCAAAAACGAATCAAGTCTGATCAGGTCCATGACTTTAAATACCAATCTACAGAAAACATAATGACAATAAAAACATAAACAATCACCATAGGGCTGCAGATGGTCTACAGGATAAACTATGCAGTTTATTTAACAAATTTCAAGAAAAAATAAACTAAAAGTGAGGGGGTACCTGTGGATTACAAGACATGTAAGACACACATTAACTACTGCATGTATGAAATTTACTTTGGTCTCAATCTAGAAAAATGCTAAAACAAATTAAGAGAGGAAAATACATGTATTTGCTTATATTAAGGCATTATTATTTTTAAAATTGGAAATGTTTTTTTTCTCAATTTGTTTTTTGAAATGTGGTTTTTAAAAAAGCCTTTATTTTGGGTTTGGGGGTTTAGCTCAGCCACACGAGCACCTGCCTGTCAAACTTGAGGCCCTGAGTTCAATCCCCATACCAAAAAAAAAAAAAAGCCTTTATTTTTCAGAGACACATTCTGAAAAATTGCCTATTGAAATCTGATGGCTCTGGATATGGTGCCCCAGGCCTGTAATCCCAGCCTTCTGGAGGAGGCTAAGTAAGGCAGGAGGATCACTGAGAGTCTGAGGCCAGCCTGGACTATGTAGCAAGACGGTCTCAAAAGAAAAAGAAGTCTGATGTTTGAACTGCAAAGTTCTGAAGGACTGTGTGGCCTCTGGTGAACTCTGCCGTGGGGATGATCTCAACACTGGTATTCAGTGTCCTATTCTCTCTGCTTCTGTATGTAGTAAACATTATTAGCCAGGCATGGTGGCACATGTTTGTGATCCCAGCATTTAGGAGGCTGAGGCAGGAGAAGGGCAACAAGTTTGAGCCCAGCCTGGGCAGCTTAACAAGACCATCCCCCCCCCCCCAAAATCTAAAATAGCATAGATTATACTTTGGAGCTATCCTAAGGACAAAGACCACCACAAAGAAATCTCCAATTGTACTGAGCAGGTTGTTATTAGCAACAAGATCAGTTATCATTTTTAAACTGTTGCACAGATGGATGAACAAAGCAGATAAACTGAGCGTAGTGTGGCGGGGTACCCCTGTGATCCTAGTTAGGAGGGCTGAGCAGGACTGGAAATCTAAAACGAGGCGGGGCAAGAATTTGTCACACAAATGAATACATAAATAAGCCAGCTGGAGTTGCAGCTCAGCGGCACACTGCCCTGGGTTCAATCCCTGGTACCAAAACAAAACAAACAGACACAGAGGGTGCAGTTGGCCAAATACAGAATGTGCTTAATTCTGTAGGAAAAATGCTACAAGTGCATGGAGTTTAAAAAAAGAAAAAAGAAAAAACACACAGTAAGGGCGAGCTGGGGATTTGGGTCAGGGGAGGAGCTCACGGGAGGGGAAGTAAGGTCCTGGGTTCAACCTTTAGCAGAGAGATAGGGTAGAGAGAGAGATAGGGAGACTGTTAGGAACCAAGAGAAACTAGAGACATTGCAACAAATTAATATTATTTATCTCATTTGGGTCCTGAATGAAAAACTAACAAAAAAAATTTGGGGGGAGTCAACTGGGAGAATTTGCATGGACTAAATAATTCACTGTTGCACGGTGTTAATACTTGTTTTTTAGAGAAACACACTTCGGCATTTATAGCTGGCATAAAGTTGTTTGGCACTTGCTTTAAAAATACCCAAAGAAGGCGTGGAGCAGGAAGCAGAGGGGGAGGAGGAGGAAATAGGTACACCGAGAAGAATGGCAATGTGTTAATTAATGGTAAGCCGGGGCTCACAATAGCAATCTCCCCACGTGTATGAGTTTGAAAATTGCCATGAAAGTTAACATACAGAACAGCTTTAAACAATCAGAAGAACTGTGTGGGGCCAGGCTCCGTTTTGACCACTCTGGAACTTAAAGGGACAGGAAAGATTTAAGGCCTGGGAAAGTTGGGGGAATCAGGGAGATGGCAAGGCAAAGACTCTGACCTTCTCTTGGGCTGGGCCTGGACAGTAAAGAAGTTGGGCCAAGGCACAGTGGTGCTGAAATCCTCACCAGTGCACGCAACCAACCATCAAGAGTGCTGTGCTATGACTCCATCTGCTGGTAGAACCTGGGAACTGCAGGTTCTAAGATTTAAGATTTGAGATTTGAGGGAGATCTGGCCCTTCCTCCTTAGAAAAAAACACATGCAATTAAACATATAAGAAGCCTTTAATTTCATCACCATAAACATTATACTCTGATTGCTCATATACAGTATAAAATATTTACTCCGCTAAATAAATAAGACATAACATTATTATTGCAAACGGCACTTAACCCCAAGCGAGAGCAGTCAGAGCTCCTCGGTCAGGCAGGGGTCTCCTGAGTTGCTGTGAGATTAACGAGTACAGATACGCCCCGGGGGCTAAATGGTCAAAGGCTCAAGGAATCACACTTGTGCTTCTGGTCCTGCAATGCCCCAAACAGGCCTTGGAGCTGGTGGGGAGAGCAGGGGTGGAGGGGGAAGGGCAGTGGGCAGTGTCATTCTTTGTCAGCCCAGCCTCTGGGAGCGGAGGGGAACCAGTAGAGTCAGGCTGGGGGAGAAGAGATTAGGGACACCTGGGGTCTACTCCACTTACCCATGACTCCCCAGGTCTGGGTAAGGACATCTGGGTATCAACTCAGATAAGCAGAGCTTCCAGGTCCTGGTTTAGGTTGTTTAGGGGCCAGACCAGTCACCCCAGCAGGGGATTCTAGCAGTGATCAGTACTGGGGGGCCCAGTTACTGAGGATCTCATTCTAGCCAACTCCTAGATACCAACACAGAAGGGCTAGAAATGGATTTTCTTCCCTTCTACTTTGTTAAATAAATAAATTAAATACTTAAGGTCCTGTGTCCCCCTGATGGCAACCTAGGGACCCCCAGCCATGTCCTAATAACAGGTGGAGGCAGGGGAATCAGCAGAGAGGCAGTGCTGTGTGTTACATGATATCACCTAGCCCTTAGGACTTCCTACTAATAGCTTCCATCCTTTCTAATCCCATAGTGCAGTTTCAACCAGAAACTCCCAAGCAAGAGCCACACTTGGTGGCTGCAGGATGAGGGGGCTTGGAGGTGGGAGGCCAGCTGGCTGAGTGCATTGTCACCTTTTCTGAGGGTATCTCAACTAGGTGCTGGCAGCCTACCCTGAGCCTGGGTGACTCACCTACAGAGTCCTGCATTCCAGTGCATGGAGCTAATCATGCCCTGCCCTCTGGCTCCCAGCCCGCCTGCCAGCCTGCTCTAGAGAGCCCTTGAGACCGGCAAGGCGCTTGGGATGCCTCAGCGCCCAGCTGTGAGGCTATGCACCATATCGCCACAGGGTGGCAGCAGAGAGCCACATCACTTTGGTGGCAGGGAGGTCCGGTAACCCCACCCACCAGAGAGCTGGGACCCACTGAGGCAGGGCCTCCCTCAGAGTTCTGAGATCCATCGATCTACACTGAATATTTGGCCAAGTCACTTTTGTCAAATACTACCCGTGTAGCAAAGTAAATGGCCACGAGACCCAAGCCTGTGGCCGACACCATATAGGCAGTGACAGATTGGCTGAGCTGGACGATGGAGCCCATAAACAGCGACGGGGCCACCTGGGACAGCAGGAAGGCGCTGTCCAGAATGGCGAGGTCCAGGCAGATGCCCCGACCTGGGACAACCCTGGCCTCACTTGGCTCGCCCACCACCACTCGAACAGAGACGTCACAGGCTGAGGCCCCACACAGTGCAGCTGGGGCAGGGAGCAGGCTGGCGCCAGCACCCACATGTCCATTGGGGAAGGGTGCTCCCGACAGCAGAAAGCTGGTTACAAGGCCGTCTTCACTGCCACCACCTCCAGGGTCCCCTCGGTATTTGGGCAGGAAAACCTAGGGGTGAGAAAACGGGGTGAGGACAGGTGTCCAGCCAGGCACTGGGGAACACCTCTCCCCACCCCATGTAAGACCAGGCCCTGTGCTTCAGGGGCTAGAAGAAGCCCAGCAGTCATGGAGGCCCACATAACATCAGGCAGCCTACTTGGGCTGGTTCTAGGCAAGCTCCTCTTCATGAGCAGGAGAGGATGGAGCAGGCAGAACAAAGCCAAGTTAGAAACTAGAACTGCCAGGTGTGGTGGCCACTAAACATCCCTCATCCCCACACTTCTCCTAGGAGACTGAAGCAGAAGAATCAGGTTGAAGCCCAGCCTGGGCAGTGAAATGACCTAGCAAGAGCCTATGTCAAACTAAAACATAAAAAAGGCTGAGAATGTAGTCCACTGTGAAGGCCCTGGGTTCAAGCCCCAGTGCCTGGGGTGGGTAAGGGTGAAAGAGTCATGAGAACAGAAGAACAAGACCTACAGGTGGCCCAAACCCCCAAGGAGAGGCTGTGCCCCCCTCCAGGGTCCCAGGCCCTGGCAGGAGCTGCTGCCCATGATAAGATCCCTGCTTCAGTCTCGGGCCCTCTCTCTTCCTTCCTGCCGTCTGCCTTAGATCAGAGACCCCTTCTGCTCACCCCTCCCCTCCCTGCCTCAGTGACCGGGTCTCCTACTGAAGGACAAGGCCAGGCCTTATCCACACTGTCCCCAGTGCCAGGCAGTGTCTAGCACAGAAGACTGCTTGAGCTGGTTGCATGAGCGAGCTGGGAGCCATGGCAGGGCGCCAACCTGATACCAAGGAATCCTACAGCCCATCGCTCAGCTCAACAAGTGGCAAAGGACAAAGCAGATGGCGGGCAAGGCCAAGCTGGCCGTTGGCTACCTTTGGAATGGGCCTCCAGGACCTGCCACCCCAGGAAGCACCAGGATGGCTGAAGCCTAGAGGCCCTGGGGACAGAGAAGTGGTCCCAGCCTGTCCCCTGGCACAACTACATGTGCTTGGGCCTGGCCCCCAAGCTGCCAGCCCAGAACAGCAGGAGAGTAGAGGTATGAAGGGGCCAGTCAGGGTCTCAGAGACCAGGGTCCTCTTCTCAAGGCTGAGCAAACCAGCCTGTCAGCTATGAATTTCTCTGCTACCTGACTCATGTCCTGCCAGGACAGGAACAAGTCTGTCCCACACTCTGGAAGCTCTCGGGGTGGGGCTGGGGTTGTACACGCAGGACTGTAGACGTGTAGCTCAGTGAGGTCAGGGGAGGGGACGACAATGACCACACTGCCTGGTTCAGGAGGCTTCCCCAATTTACACAGCACCCTGGTGAGAGGAGCTGGTATATTAGGCTGTTAATCTACGGAAGGGTTGGGCAAAGGAGGGAGGCAGGGAAAGAACCAAGAATTAGAAGAAAAGGGGGTCAGAGGGGGCTGTCCCCATCTGAGAATAAATCAGGACACAAGTAGTGTCATTACCTCTCCCTGGGAAGGAGAGGAGTGGCTCAGGTCACCCATTCCCAGCGCTATCTGCTGAAGCCAACAGGCCCCAAAGTCACTCCATGCAGCCCCTGGCCCCTTGGTACACAGCCCAGGCCAGACTGAGGGCGTCTGCTGGCCCGAGTCCTCAGGATTCTTGGTGAAGGATGCTGCGTTTCCTGCAATCATCTACTCAAGTGGTTTATAGTCCCAAAGCCAGGAAGTCATTCCCAGAATCTAATCTGCGTGCTTCTTCCGCAGTTCAAGCCTCTAGCCCGTGGCTAAAATGAGCTTCCTCTGTGCAGAGAAAGCCTCCTGCAGCCCTGGCTGGACACCAGGTCCCCTCACCCCACTGGCTGGCAGCATGCAAGCACCAGCTCCTCCTACCTGCTTCTCTCGGTGGTAGAGGGAGGCCAGTGTGTAGGGCAGGATCTGCAGGGCCGAGAAGGTGAAGCCAGTGAGGGCAGCCGAGGCTGTCACCACAGCCACATTACGGGACAGGCACGTGGCACCAGTGGCCACAGGGAAAGCGACCACGCTGGCTAGGTAGACGGCCCTGGTGCCAAATCGCTGCACCAGCCGGTCCATGATGAGGGAGAAGAGCAGGGAGATGGCGCACTGCAGGAAGAGTCCCAGGCTGCCCATGCGCACACCTGGGGGGCAGAGAGAGCCAGGATAAGGCTCCTGCACCCCACTGGGGAAGGCCCTCGGGAGAGCGAGGGACCACAGCAGAATACCTGCTCCCGAGAGCCCCCTCCACTCCAACTGCAGCACCAGGCTCATCCACTGACCCTCAGCAGATGTGACCAAAGCTGGTGGTGAAGGGAGGGGAGGCTGTTCTTAGGAGGACGCACGAGCTTTGATGAGAGGGACCACAGAAACAATGTGAGCTTCAACACAGTGTCCCAGGGCAGGGGGTGTAGAGTACCTGCCAGGCCAGTGCCAGTCCCAGATTTTGATTCCCTCCACCCCAAACAGCAACAAGCAAAGACACTACTCTAGCATATTCTCAGAGTTATCTCAAAAGTTGGCAGGGAAGCAGGGGCCCACCGGAAGCTGGGACCAGCCAGACCTAAGTCCAGCTTTGACTCTTCCACTCCCTTTAGACCACAATGAGCTCAGCTTTTTCCTTCTGTCAAAGCGGGCCATGAGTCTAAGTAAATGTGGAGCAGCAGCCATCTGCAGAGGGGGTCCCCCTCCTTTCCAGACGGAGAAGTTGGGGTCCAGGCTATGGGCAGCTCCCCACCCTGGCATGTCCCCTTGAGGGCAGCCTCTTTGGGCTGTAAGGCCTCACCTTCGTCATAATGTCTCCGGGCCTCTGTGCCTGGCTCAGCTCTGGGCACACCCTGGTACAGTCCCTCGCCCACGAAGTCCGTGTAAAACAGTGTGAAGGTCATGAGTGCCATCCAGCTACATAGCTCAGCCACAAAGAGTCGCTGCAGCGCACGGGGCATGTGGCAGCAGAGCTGGTGCAGGCGAGGAAATAGGGCGTCCAGGCTCTGGAAGGCCAGGCGGGTCCGGCATGGACAGCAGTGTGTTGACACAGAGGACACCGACAGGCCTTCCACTGCCTCAGCCGGGCCCAGCACCGCCTCTTCGGCCACAAAGAGTGTGGCTGCCATGCAGGTAAGGAAGATGAGTGTGAGGAGGCCAAAGAGGCACTCTTCCTGGGTGCCCAGGTAGGGGGCGAGGGCACTGGCATCCCAGTCAATGGCGGGCAGGAGATAGCCCAGGCAGCCCCCCAGGCTGATCATGAAGGCGTAGACAGAGAAGGCCTGGCGGCAGTGGTCTGGGTCCCGGAAGAGGTCGGACAGCAAGGCCTCCAGAGGTGTGAAGCACACCTGGCCACAGAAGTCCAGCAACCCGACGCCCAGAATCAGCAGAGCCAGCTCCAGGGGCCTGGCATCTGGGCACAGCAGCCCCGCCAGCCAGCCAGCCCTCGGGATGAGGAAGAGGCTGAGCAGGACGCCCAGGGAGAGGGCCCAGATGAAGGGCCTCCGGCGGCCATAGCGTCCACGCCACTGGTCACTGGCTGAGCCCAGGAGTGGGACAGAGACCAGGCCCAGCACTGGCCCGATGCCTGCAAGAAAGGCAAGTAGATGAGTCAATGTCGGGGCCGGGAGGAAGGGCAACAGGCAAGGAAGTCAGAATGGAAATGCTGAGGCAAAGTCACGCTGGGGGCTTTGTCTTCACTGGATTCTCTAACATGCTCTGTACGACACAAGGGCTCTTGTGGTACAAGGGCTCTCGTTTCCAGATGGGGAAAGTAAGACACAGAGCACTGGAGAAGTGACACTTACGCAAAGGCTAGGTGGGAGGATAAGTGGAGGGTGTCCCCAGAACCTGGCTCCGGGCTTTGCACCAGACAGTGTTCCTCGGCCAGGGCTGGGAGATGTCATACATCAGCAGCCACTTGTCAGCTGAGGTTGTGGAAAAATTCCCTGAGCCCACCTCTGCCCTGCCTCAGCAGGGAGACCGTGGTCAAGTGCCAGCTTCATTAATCAGCAGCCACAAACCCAGGCTGAGACGCACCCACGCTAAGACTTACCTCACCTCTCACAGGACTATTTCCCTCTTGGTAAGACAATAACCCCAGAGGGCATTGTAAGGGATAAAGGAGATTACAGGTGCGGAAAAAGGCAAGATAAAGACAGTTTCTCCAGTGTCTCCCAGGACCCCAGCAATGTACAAGAGTATGCAAGGTGCCTAGATTATTATGCCCCTGAACTTGCTGTTTCTCAGAGCACCCTGCAGCATAGGTCACTCTGCTGCCCAGCAGGTGCACAGATAGCCAGCAGCCACTCTCTCACCCCATCTGTTCCCAGGAACTACTGCCTGCCTACATCTCAGCTGCACAGGCCGGCGAAGTGACTCACCCAGCACCATGGTCATGAACCTCTCTTCTACCCCCACTTCCAGCAGCAGGGGGGGTACGTAGGTGATGCCTGCAGCCAGGCACACCTCCAAGCCAAAGGTCAGCAGGTTGACTAGCAGGAGCTGGGTCTTGCGATGCCGCAGTAGGCGGCTCCCCGACAGCCTCTGGACCATGGTGGACCGGGCAACTCAGGCTCTGGGGGCCGGTCAGGGGCATGAGCTCCACGATGGCCTTGTCTCAGCTCTGCTCCAGACGCTGCTGCTGAGGCCTCTTCTTCTTGCTGTCGCCAAAGGCCTAGGATTTGGCCAGGCATCCATTGCCATCAGCCCTCTGGTGCAGGTCCAGTGTCTCAGCTTGCGCTAAACACCTGTTGCCATGCAGCATCTCAGTGGGAACACATCTCATCACTGGAGTCCTAAAAGGGGAGGAAAAACACAGGTACAATGTATGTTATGTCCTGGGGGCCAGGGGTCTCTAGGATTTGTTCTGAATTTTCAGAATCCTGTTCATTCACAGCCCAGTGATGTGGCCCTGCCCCCTTGGTGCTGCTCTGGCTGCCCAGTCAGGAAGTGCATGCTAATATTAGCAGAAAGTTGACATAATTAAATGAGGTAAATGTGAGTTTTAAACCTCAACCCGCCGCAGAACCAAACAGATGCTAGTTACTTTCTTTTTTGGTACCAGGGATCGAACTCACGACCTCAAGCTTGCCAGGCAGGTGCAGTGCCATTGCGCTAGATCCCTGGCCCGCCAGTTACCTTTTGTTTTGGACTATCTCTACAATCACCCTCCAAAATCAAACCAACTCAATTCTTGGTTGCCCAGGCCTGGCTCTCCACGGAGACCCTGGAACCCTCTGCCTCTGCCAGGCCTGGGATGTTTACTCTTCTCTCTCCAACTCCCAGAGCTGGCTGTTCAATTCCCCTTTGTTGAGAGTGAACTTCTGTTTCTGCACCTCCAGGTCCTGGGCTATGTTATATCACAATCCCCACCCCAGGGCAGGGACAGAGGGGAAGGGAGGAAAGGCCGTGGCTTGCTAGGGTGGGTTTCAACCTGTTACTGAAACCTTTGGTGATCTAGGTTGGAATATCTCTCCAGGTTCAGTGTTCATGGGGGCAGAGGTGATCCCACATGCCAGTGACTGTCCAACTTTCACAAAGCAGTGAGAGCAGTGGGGTCATTCCCAGGTCCCCGTCTCCCAGGGACATGAAATTTTACCACCCGGCTGCACCTGTGATGATGCCAGTGACCCCTGAGCTGCCACTTCCTGGGCTTTTTCCTACTGTTCACGGCATTCCGTTCTCAGCAGAGAAGACCCCACACACTCTCCCGTGCACCAGCAGCAAGGACCACACTGCTGTGCCACTGCAGGCCAGCAGTGGCCTCCAGGTGTTAGTTCCCTGCTACCACTCACTGCAGTGTGCTCGGCTTAGAGACGTCTATGAAAGGGAAAACCAGCCAGGTATGATGGTGCACATCTGTAATCTTAGCATGGTAGGAGGCTGGGTGAGGCAAGAGAGTTGCAACTTCCAGCACAGACTGGGGAACAACTTAGCTGCTTAGTGAAACTCTGTCTAAAAATTTTTTTAAAAAATTTAAAAGTCTGGGGTTATGGTGGGCCAGGTTCAGTGGCCACTACCAAAAAAAAAAAAAAAAAGGAAAATTATGTCAGCTATCAGAAGAGGTGCAGAAGAGCCAGACTTGATGGCTCACACCTACAATCAAGCACTTGGAGACTGAGGTAGAAGGATCGGAGGCCAGTGTGGGCTATACTGTGCGGCCCCACTTCAAGAAGCTCCCCTCTCAAAAAAGAAAGAAAAAGAGGAGGAGTAGAGAGAGGAGAGAAGAAAGAGAAGGAAGAGCACACAGGTAAGAGGCCCGTACCCTGTCACTGATTCCAAAACAGAGGCAAAGGACGACTTTCCACCACTGCGGGCTGCAGAGCCTCCCTTTCCGCCCACATCCAGCCCTTAAGTGCAGCAGAGTAGTTACTCTTGGGCAGGGAGCACGGTGGCCCAGGGCTGGTTCTGGTCCCCCACGCTACCATCGCCTCACTCATTCCCTCTGCCCACCTCAGCACTTCCCAATGAGAGGCTGAGGGGCGCGCTGACTCTTTCAGCTCTTCAAGGAGCACTGAGCCCTAGGCAGCCCTGCGCACTACAAAGCGTTATTAAAGCATGCTGCCGACGACGCCCTGTGAAATCAAGTGGCTGTCTACTGCTCCGCTGCACGACCACCTTTTAGAGCTTGACAGCCTGCAGACCAGCCAAGAAGGGACTTCAGATAAAGCTGGGTGCTAGGGACTCCTCCTCCTCCTCAAAGTTCTCACCCTTTGGAAGGAGGAGGGATTCCTAGAGGGGTGACAGAGGAGAAATATAAAATACTGACCCACACAGTCCCAAAAGAGAGGACCTGGAATCAGACCTGGGTTCAAGTGGCCCTCTCCCGGCTGCTGTGTTTCCCAGGATCTGAGCGAAAGTGCCGACCAAGGGGTGGAGCTACGCGGCCTGGAGGGAGGGGTTCTGGCGCACAAGGCGTCCCACCCACTCCACTTCCCACCCTCAGTGTGAAAGGGCAGGGCACACTCGCCTGCACTGCATATTGCAGGGGACCAGGCCCTCCCTGGGCAAACAGAGACTTTGCCAGACAGCCTCACCCACAAGCTGCTCTCATTCTCCAAATCCAGGTTGCTGCTCGTTTAAAATAAACTGCAGTTCTCCAGGGACCACTGATCACAACACCTGCCTTCCTGGTTCCTCAGTCCTCTCCCCCGGGAGCAGGACCCCTGGTAGCCCACAAGGGAAGGCATGCAGAGGAGTTCCCCCCAGACTCCTACAGCCGGAAGACTGTGTTGGAGCAGCTTCCCTCCGGTGGGAGGCCCTTAACCAGGTAACTGGGGGCTGGGACTAGGAAGAATTCATTGAAAGGAGTTGGGTAGGAAGTAGGCAGTCCCGCAACCCTGCTCAGCACCCCTCTGTTTTTAGGTTGCAGAGCCCGTCTTCCCTCTTTTCCTGTTTTCTCTGCCCTGGGGGTACAAGTACTCTTGCCACCCCTACATTTTGTCCTTCTCAGCTCAGAATTACCTGTGGAATTCCCTCTTATCTTATCTCCATGCCTCAGTCTTCTCCACTTCCTATTTCAGGTCCCCTGGGCAGGAGAGGACTCCCACAATGCCAACTCCAGCCACCTGGCCAGCCATTCCCCGAAACGCCTTCTTCCTGGGCACCATGAGAAATATCAGACCCTGCCTGGTCCCCAGGCTCAGAAAGCCTCAAACAAGAAGTGGTGTGTGCCACTGGCCTGGCCATAACTGTTCCTAAGACCTAGGGCACACTTCTCATCCAAGCTTGAAAGTGACAGATCACTGGGTAGCCACTCCACTGCTCTAGGTCTGGGGAGTTCCCCTGGCTTCTGGAGCAGGCAATGGCCCAGGGGACAGAGTCTAACTCTCAGTATTCCCACTCTGATCTCAGAGCTGCTTCAGACTCAAATCCTCCTGCCCCTGCAGCTCCTGGAGTACTCTGGGCAGCTGGCAAACAGAAGATCAACCAGGAGAGCCGCCAGGAATGCTCACCTGGAGAGGAGGGGGCAGGAAGAGGAGGGAAGTGGAGGGGCTGACCTCCAGGAAAGTTAAGGAGAAGAGTGGCAGCCTCCTAGGAGAGCAAGCTCCTCTCAACTTCCCAACCTCTCTGGGAACTTTCCTGGGGCTGCACCCTGGACTATTCTTCCTCCGACCCTGGAGCCTAAAGAGACCAAGGGCCCTGAGCAAAGTCAGGGAAACTGGCTGTATCTGCCCAGCTCCAGATACCCCAACACATAGCATCCCCAGGGCAGGCCTTGGGCACCAGCCCCAGTAAGTACGAGGACCAGGGACATGTTAGTCTAATGAATGAATGGATGGGAGAGTAGATGTGTAAGAGATGGGAAAAGATCTGAGCTATCCTTCTACTATATAGGCAGCTACGTTTGATAGAAATTAATACACAGTCAGAGAGGGACAGGGCTGTCAAGGAAGTCAACAACAGCAACAAAACAAAGACATGAGAATTGTAGCCAGAGGCACATCTGAAGACCAGGTCTCAAGATAGAGATGCATCCAACACCTCCCCTAAGGGATAAGCAGTAATTTGGAATTACACTGTAACAGGCACCACTTGGTCCAGTAAAGTCCAGTTAGAGATCAGTCACCCACATGGGTGACCAAAGCATCTGGAATCATCCCTTCTCAAAATGCTTCTGTTCTTTCCATGTGTTCTTGCTATGTGATCAGCTTCTCTTTTGGATCAATCTTATGGAAGTGGTTATACTTGTAATCTGATTGGTTAATCACAGTTTGACCATGTTGTACTCAGCTGGTGAGTTTGTGCCCACCTCGAGATTTTGCTCTAAAACATTGTTGGGGAAGTAGTCTCAGTGGCAACCCGCTTTTGGGTCCCCTCTTGTCTCTCAGGAGCTATCTTTCAAATATTTTCTACTCAACACCTCCCTTGTTCCTTACAATTCATTCTTCCACTTCAAAAGTCAGATATGCTCAGTTCTGACATTTATCTAGCAGTTATCAGCCCAGCCCTACCCCAGGCACCAGGAAATCCTCAAAAGTGGCAGGCAGTTGATTGGGCTGGAAGGTTGAGAATGGCTTGGACAGACCCTGCTGGCCTGGAACACCCCCTCATCAGATCGGACCCCAGCAAGCAATTTGGGAAATGAAACTGAGCAACAGGAACAAACTTGGCCTGAACTTTGTCCAAAATTCAAAAGAGAGAGTGGAGGAGGTGGAGAAAAGGCATAGAGAGCCCACTCCCCAGTAGCTCTCCAAGGAAGGGAGGGTCACAGAACGCATAAAGAGGCTTTTGAGGGCTTTCAAAGAGGCTCCTGCCACCCCTTGAGGCAGAGGTGGGGCTGGGGGGGCAGAGTTCCTCCTGACAGAGGCCAGAAGGAGCAGGCTGCGGCGCCCCTGCCCCGGGCCAGTGTCAGGCAGCAATTCTATGGCCTCTTTATGCAGGCCAGCGTCCCCCACCCCACCCCGCCCAGGCACATCAAACGGCCGCAGCCCCCGCCCTGACCCTGCGGGCTCTGGGACCCCGAGTCCCCCTCCGCGCTCACAAAGGCTGGTTGCTTTCTCACACGCTCCCGGGAGCACGAAGCACGCTCCTCCACCCTCTCCAGAGGGGGAGATGACTGAGAATGGGGGAGGGCTGGCCTCAGGAGCAATGTCTCAGCTGAGGAAGGTGTGGGTTTACTCCTGACAGCTTCCCTAGCACCTCAACAAAGCTGTCGCACCTGGCCAGGCATGGATGGATCGCAAGCAGGGCTCTCCTCAGCTGAGGCATAGACGACCACCACTCGGGTAAGAGTTTGCCAATCAGCATCCTCCAGCTCACCCCTGAGCCTCAGTGCCAGGGCTCTTCTGGGTCATCCTAAAACATCCTGCCCTAAAACACCCGGCCCAGAAGGCCAGTGAGCTTGGAAGCTGGAACCTTTGGTTCCCCATCCTTTTAGAGCCCCTGTGTTAGGGTGGCTGAACTGCTGGGAATTGCTGCCTGGTACCTGGGCTGCTAAGAGGGGAACACAGCAGGAGTCAGAGGCTGGGGCCTCCCACCCCTTCAGGCTTTGATTTTTTGTACCCAAATATTTCCAAAGCAATGAGGCCTCTGCTTTACTCAAAAGCAAAAATCTAGTAACCACTATTCGAACAAGTAGTTGAGCCCCATCACCTCACTGGGCTCTGGGACCACACCTGAGGACACCCTGCCTTGCGCTTGTCCCATCTCCAAGGACTCATTGAAAGAACAGAGCCACATTGCAGAGAGGGGGCCCCAGCCTCAGCTCCCACCTGGAGACTTGCTCCCCAGCTCTAGCCTCCCCCAGGCCTGGAGGCTGGGGATTTAGAGTTCACCCTGCTGAGCAGCCTTTTCTTCCCCCCAGACTGGAAGCCTTCTGCTTAGCAGCTTGTCAAGAGAGAGTGAGGGGCTGCAGGCCAGGACACAAAGGGGGATTAGGGAGAAACCTCTGGGCCTGCAGAGTAATCCATCAAACTCTCTCCCGGCTGCCAGCACCAACCCCTTCCCACTCAATTCCCCTTCCAGCTGCTGCTGGCCCCCACCCCCTCTGGCTCCTGAGCCCTGTCACTTGGGTAGCAAAGAGAATCTCAGGCCCTGGGGGGGCAGAGGGGACACACCACAGACACTGGGAAAAGGCCAACGGCTGCCTCCCCCGCATTCACCCACAATGTGTGAAAACCCAACAGGTGGCAGTGGCTTGGAGGAAAGTTGCTTTTGTTGCCCTGTCTGAGAGCCCCCATCCAGCTTCAGAAAGAAACAAATGCTGGAGGAGGTGGGGGCAGGGGAGGGAGAGGGACAGAGCCACACCACACTGGTCTGTCTTCCTCCCCTCCCAGTCAAGGGACTGGGACCCAGGGTCTGGCCTGACCCTCACCTTGGCCAAGGTCCCAGCCAGTGTAAACTAGGCTAAAGCACCCATCCCAAGGTCACCTGGCCATCCTACCCTGACAGTCAGCACAGACACATTCTGATCCCAGGCACCTGGGCTCTCTAACCAGACTTTCTTTCTGGAAATGGCAGCTACCCAAGGTCATTTGGGGCTTCTGCACAGAGACAAGCAGGGTTCCTCAGCCAGGAGCCTTCTTCCACCCAGCACCACAGGCCTCTGAGCCCACGCAGATTCCAGGGCTGGAGTCAGGCAGACCTGCATTGGCATGCCAGCTCCGCCACACAACGACCGCGTGACCTTGTTACTTGACCTACCAAGCCTCAGTTTCCTCACCTACAATTAATAACAGCATTAGTAGCAATGTTTACTCTATGCGTGCCAGGCACTCTTCCAAGGGTTTTAATCTTCCAACTACCGGATGAGGTGGGTATGATTAGTGTAGGCCAAGAAACTTCAATTAGTAACATCAACTTTGGGTTGGGGTAGGGCAGAGCACGTTTCATCCCCAGCACAGCAAAAACAAAACAAACCAACAAAAATCCCCCACCAATTTATTTTCTTTCCTTTTTTTTTTTTGATACTAGGGATCGAACTCACAACCTTGCATTTACCAGCCAAGAGCTAAATCCTTGGCCGACCCCCACCAATTTCAAGGGCACACAGAATGTTTGGAATCAAGAATGGGGTATGCTGGTTCCTGGGAAGATCTCTCCTTTCCAAACTAGAGGTTGAGAAGATGACTCTGCCGTCTCTGCTTTCACATTCCTGCACCCACATAAGCTGCCAGTTCACCACCCCCAGAGGCAAGAGAAACCCAAGGTTGCCCCAGATGCTGGCCCCAACAAGTGACATCACTGCCAAGAGTGGGAAGGCTGGGGGGGGTAGATATCCCCTAGGTGTAAGACAGAGTGGTTCCACCCTACTGGGTGACTGCGCAGGAAGTATGTAGCCCATGTTAGGAGCTCAGTGCTTTCTAACAATTCACACAATGCCCAATGTCTACAAGGTAGATATTCAATATTTCTTCTTCATAACGATGAAAATTTTCATCTCAAGGAACTTTAATTAGCATACCCAAGGTTGCACAAATAACAAAATTTGGAACCATTTGAAAATCCTAGAATGCACTTCAAACTGGGAGCCAGGGGAGTCTAGTTGTGTTTCAGCAACACCTAGAGCTGTGTGGCTTGGACAAGCCATTTCTACACATATAAAATGAGAGCTGGTCTGAGGTTCCTCAGGTAGAATGCACTCCGAGCACAGGTGTCCTCCGACAAGCCTCGAGGCATTAGAGAGGGGTTTCCAGGTGGCTCACCAATGAAGGCCACGTGGAATCTGGTGCAGAAGAGCTCCCCAGCTGCACCTCCCCTACCCAGGACAATGGAGTGCCAAGGGTCACCTGAAACCGAGCCAGTGAACAGGATGTCTGGGGACAGAACTGCCCTCTTTCCTACTCCCTCCCAGGACTGGACTCTGTTCCTGGCAGAAATTAGTAACTAAATTCTTCCTCTCCTTGAGTCACAATAAATTCAGAGTATCAAAAAATCCTGTGTTCTTGCGCGGGGGGGGGGGGGGGGGGGGCGCGGGGGCCGGGGGGGGGGGGGATAAAGGAAAAAGGGGAGCTGGACTCAGACTCCAGGCAACTAGCAAGTTCGCCCAACCTCCTTCCACGTCTTCCTTCAGCCCCTGCACAGTGAAACCTGAGTGGCCTCTCTCCTGGTGAACTTGACCCTTGCCAGTCACCAGGCTAGACTGGTCAGTTCTCCCCACCCATGTGCAGCCAATCTTGGTCCTCTCCTCAGCTTCCCTCAGGATATAAGGTACATGGGAAAGATGCCAAGGGCTTGTCTATGTGGGGCAAACCACAGCCAGCAGTGCCCATGGTGGATGGCCACACTGGGTGCTTGGCCCCAGCTATGCATGCTCTGCCTCCAGGGCGGCAAATGTGATGATGACCTCTGGGACTTTTATCAGCCCTAACATCCTCAAGTGTGTGACCAGCGTCATCTCTAGTCAAAGGTCCCAGTCAGTTCTTTGGAACTGTCTCTCAAAAAAAAAAATTTTAAAAAAATCACTTCCTGTTGAGCAAGGTTACAGTCCATTCCACAAAGACTCCATTAAGGAGCTGGAGCTGACCCAACCTTGGAAGAAGTACCCTCAATCTGTGACCCAGCCTCACCTAAAGGAATACCCAAGAGCACCACCAACTACCCGCTTGCCTTCACTGAGCCCCAATCATGTGCAAGCCTACTGTAAAGACCATGGTGACATAGAAATAATTGGCTCTAGCTCCCCTTAGCAAAACAGAGAAAATGCAATAAATACAATCAGCGTGCCAGGAGGGGATGAAGGTGCTCACATCTACATCCACGGAGTCTGAGACTTCCGGTGGGAATACGCTCAGGGCTTCCTAGAGTATGCAGGTAAAGAGTATGCAGAAGGGGCTGGGGATTTAGCTCAGCGGCATAAGTGCCTGCCTTGCAAGCAGGCAGTCGTGAGTTCAATCCCTGGTACTGATAAAAATGAAAAAGACAAAAAAAAAAAAAGAGTACGCAGAAAGGGTTGATGTCTATGAAGCAGAGGCAGGGATTTCCAAATTCACCTACCCCCTCTATCGGCCCCTCCCCAGTCAGGTGTGCCAGAAGAATATGGGATCCAAAATGATAGGTTTGGGTTCCTCTCTCAAGTCTGGCTGGGCTCCTGTGTCCTAGATGAATCCTCACGGCTTCTTGAACCCAGGGTGTGGGATGCATCCCCTGGGATGATTTTTGCTTCCTAAGGGATCACCTTCCCTGGTTACTTCCCCGTCCTGAATGGTGCTCCCTTGCACCTGAGGCCAGCTCAAGTCCTGTACATCTTCTACGGCTTTGTGGCTTTTGACCAGACAGTCAAGTTCATATTTTTTTCTCCCCCAAATCTCTACTGCATGAGCCAGGTACAGTCTGGGCTGCACACTGCGCATGGCCCTCCGGTCTCTGTTTTGTCGTCCTTCCTGACTACCTTCTCACTGACTAGCCTTTTGGCTCCTGGAAAGCAGAAGACAAAGGCCCTGCCCAGACCCCAAGGAGATGGGGTACTCAACAGCAGACTGATGGGTAGGAATAAACCGGAAGTCCCACAGACAAGGCCACATTCCAGGCCTCCGGGTACTCAGCTTTCTCCAGCAACACAGGCCAGCGTGGAAGTCCACCCTGCTGCATCCCTAGGAATGGCCTAAGGTGCTCTCAAGCTTATTTCCATTATTTGCCAGCTCAAAGTACACTTGGGATTAGAGAATTTGGGGGGTGGGCAGAAGGCTGACACAGTACACACTGGGGAGAGAGAAGCTCCTGCTGTGGGTGGCTGCTCCCAAGGGCTGGGCAATGTCTGGCCTGGATCTGGTAAATGGGGTGGGGGGTACTGAGAGCAGGAAATGGCCTCCAACTCACTTCTGGTTGGCTTGTCCCAGCCCCCTAGACAGGGTGACATCCAGTATCCAGAAATAACAAAGAAGGAAAGGGGAGCAAACAGCCATTAAATACCTTGTCAGTATAGGCACTGTGCTAAATATACACATCCCATTTGATTCACAACATAACCTTGCTAGGTGAGTAACGTGTCCATTTTACAAAGAAACCAAAGCCAACAGAGGGATGGGTCAACCCCAAAGCCAGACACGCCACTGTCATTCAGAGTTGGTGGCAAACTATAGACCTCTCCCATGGGTAAGGAAACACAGACCACATAGTACAAAAAGGGATTAAACAGGAAGTTCTGGCCAGAGATCAGGACCATCCCATGACGGCTCTGTCACCAGTCCCTGCTGCCTAAGCAAGGATACTCAATACACTGGACAAAGCCCAACACTCTAGTGCTGTGGCTGGGAATCAAGTGGCCTCAGCATTTGAGCCACTGGGCCTGGTACCAACTGACCCAGTCTTCACTCTTGCTGTCCAGCAGCTGAGCTACTGACTGGCCAAAGAAAGGGAGGCTGGGTTTTTCCACTCCAGACCCCAAGAGCAGCTCAAAAGAGCCCACAGACTGGAAAGGAAGGACAGAGCAGGGTCCCCTCTTCAGGGCACTCTCCCTAAACAATTTTCCTAAAAATAACTCCGAATAACCACTCCATATACAAGCTCCTTCACCTTCCAGGTGGAGATTTGCCCCACCTCTCTATCAGGCCTCCAAACTGCAGCGTTCACTCCTGAGAGGTAAGCAGGGCAGCTTGTTTCAGACTAACTACAAAACAAAGCAGGTCACATAGTAGTGACAGGGACAGGGCAGAGTCAGATGTCCAGTCCTAGGGGTGCTCTTCACACTGGACCACAGTTTCACTGTGGATGTCACCCAGAGCTTACATGTGGTTATATGTGGCGTAATCCTCTGGGAAGGAACTGCTTTCTAAGTTAAACCACAATGATGGCCTTCCTCATCACCAAATAACAGCAGCTGACATTTGTCAAGCTCTTTTTACAAGCAGCTGCTCAGAGGTTTACCTACATCAGCTTACTTAATCCTCAAAATACTGTGAGGTAGGTACTAGTTTCCTCATTTCACAGAGAAAAAAGTTGGAACCCAGAGAAGCCATAAAACTTCCACAAGACAAAACAGGGATTCAAGAAGTCTAGGGCAGGATTTTTTTAAAGAGCACGGTCCCAGAATAGTCTCAGGTTGGGGGCTACTGTGCACCGCATTACAGCTGAGAGATCTAATACAGTTAATACTGCCTGGCATGGTGGCTCATGCTACTAACCCAAGCGCTCAGGATGCTGCGGCTGAAGAGTTCAAAGCTCATTTGGGCTACATAGTAAGTTCAAGCCCAGCCTTAACCACACATTGTCTCAAAAAAACAAGGGGGCTGGGGATTTAGCTCAGCGGCATAAACACCTGCCTTGCAAGCAGGCGGTCGTGAGTTCGATCCCTGGTACCAATAAAAACGAAAAAGACAAAAAAAAAAATAATAATAATAATAGAGTTAATACTAGCTGGCACATATTGAGCGACTACATTTCAGGCATATGGTTAAGTGTTCTATACTAATTAGTTGTAAGTTTTACTTTAGTTATATGTTTACAAATATTACTTATATGTGTCACAATTTAACAAAATAACAAAGCTATACAGTAGATATGATCATTATTATTACCATCATCTCCATTTCACAGCCAGGGGTAGGGGGGTTTGGAAGAGGTTAAGCAACTTGCCAAGCTGGTGGAGGAGTCAATAAATAAACTCATCTTTCTGAGAGTCTGACACATTATCCATAATGTGTTGTCAGGTCCTAATGGTTCAGAGAGTAGTACTTAAAGTTCACCTCACTTCCAGAGTCCCCTGACTATCTCTCCCTGCCTTTCTGCCTTTCTGTCCAGACCCTGAGCAGGCTGAGAGCTCCCTTGGGACCTGCATACCATCCCTCCACCACCCAGTGGCCCGATGGGTAGGGTGGACCACACAGGCTCACTGACCAGCTCTTCCTCCCACAGGGTTCGCTAGACAGAGAGAAAGGGCTGGAGAATTCACTCCATGAGAGCATAGGAAATCTGCCCCTGGCACACACTCACTAAATTGGGGCCTGTATCTCCACAGCTGTACCTTCATCCACAGCTGTATTTTTATCTTCAGACTCATCTGGCTGACTCAAGCTCCATTTCTAGGCATTTTTAGAATACAGTCCTGCTGTAGGACAGGCATGGGCGAGGAGATAACAGAGGAACGAAAGGGTAAATCGATCCTACTGAAGGACCCACCTCAAATTGTGCCTCATTTGCGCCCTTGGACAGTGGCGGTGAACC